TTGCTGGTGCTAGGTGCTCTGTCCAGGAGTATATTCCTTCTCCTCGGCTTTGTAACAAGTGCTGGAGGTTTGGGCATGGTGCCCTCCACTGCTCTGGGACTGTCTCTCTGTCCTTTGTGTGGGGGCGAAGGTCACTCTAAGTCGGAGTGCACTTCTCCCCAAGCTCCCTGCCTCAACTGTGGTGAGGCCCATCCTACCTTCTCCCGTGACTGTATCCATTACAAGCTTGAGGCGGCCGTCCTCAACTTGAAGCACCGGGAGCGTTTATCTTTTCCCGAGGCGAGGCGCCAGGTTTGCCGGCTCCCGCCTTATGCTAACATCTCTTATGCTCGCGTGTTGCGCTCTTCCTCTCCTCGTCCTTCCCGCCTTCCTCAGACTCACAACCGTTTCCGGGCCTTGGACCCTGATACGCCCACTGCCCCCTCCTCTGTTCCTTTGGGTTCTCTCCCGAAGGATCTACCTCCTGGTCCTGTGTGGGGTTCCCCTTCTTTCTACCCGGTCTGTCGTGTCTCCTGTGTCTTCTTCCTCGTCTCCCTCCGTTCCTCCTTCCCCTCCGTCTCTTGACTCTCCCCGCCACCTGTCGGTGCGGGCTGATGTCCATCGCTCTCTAAACGGCCGTCATGTGTGCTATCGCTCAGCTTCTCCTGTTGAGACGCTAGAATCCGTTGCCCAGTACGTGGTTGCTGGAACACCTGTCTCTACGTCAGAAGCGTAAGCCTGGCTCCTCTCCTTCCTCCTCCCCGGCGGGTAAGAAGGTTTCGCTTTCTTCCTCGGCCCCTACTTCTGCCTCTCTCGCTGCTTCCCCTCCCATTTCGGTGGTTGCGCCCCCTGTTCCTGCTATGGAGGTTTCTTTAGCCCCCGCTTCCCTCTCGGTTGCTGCCCTTGCTGAGGTGCGCTCCCCTCTTTCTACTCCCCCTCTTCCTGCTGCTGTCCTAGACTGCTCCCCTTCGTTGTCTCCTCTTCCTCCACCGGACCCCACCCACCCGCCCACCTCTGGTCTGTTCTCCCGCTTCCTTCCCTCCGTCTTTGCTCAGTTTACCCATGCCCCCTAACCCTGACTTTGCTGACCCTGATCCCGACCCTGATATTCTTTAATGTGCTATGTTGCTCTTTCGCCTTTGTTTCTTCCTTGTTCTCTGTTGTTGTCCTTTCTCTTCTCGTCGTTGTCTATTCAATGGAACGTTCGAGGTTATTACGCCAATTTCCTCGAACTCCAACTTCTGATTTCGCGGTTCTCGCCTCTTTGTGTCTGTCTTCAGGAGCCGATGCTTGGTGCTCGTCCTGGTCGTTTTCGTGGCTATTCCTTTCTCTTCCCCCCCCCCCCCAGCCGTTGCTGGGGCTCCTAATTCTTCTGCTCTCTTGATTCGCGCTGATGTTCCCTTTGTTTCTTTGCTTTTTCCTTCGCCTTTCCATTGTTCTGCTGCTCGTGTCTTTGTACAGACGCATTCATAAATTTTAACTTGCTGTTCATTCAAAACAAGAATTTTCTCAAATATAAATTAATATTATAATATATTAGCATATTGTGCATATATAGGCATAGGTTAGGTTAGGTTAGCTATTTAGGTTCGGTTGGCGATTATTTGCATTTGTAGTACGTGGGTGAAGCATTTATAGCGATGTGGTTCGAACAAAACTCGTCAGTGAAGCACTTGTTCCGGAAGTGTTCGAACGAAATCAGTTGTGAGTCGTGTGTAAACCGCTTTTCATTCATAAACAGGGGGTTTGGCGGGTGGATGGAATCACTTTTGGATCTTTGTTTGGAGGACGGGCTGCATGAACGTGTTTTTGGAGCCGGATTCTGGTTCACTGCACATATTTGTAGTTTGAAATTATGACTTAATATCGAATATATGCCAATCAATGAAAACGGCGATAGTGGTAAACGGCCCTACGATGCAACATTTTGCTTTTTTCAGAGTTGCATCGTAGGGCCGGTCATTTTTCGTTACCCCGGTGAGATTTCTCTCTCGTTTGGGTACCGTTTTCAGTTTCATCGTAGGGTCGGTCATTTTTCGTTATCCCGGTGACCCATGCACAGGCATTGCTAATGGTCAATGATGTCATCAGCTAGCCAGTCACCCCATCATCATCTTCCCTGAATAAGTTCGTTTTCTGTTATTCTGTATTTATTCCCATTTTCAATATTTATAGCAAAGGGGATTAAAATGCTGCATTCTGTTAAGCCTAATGTGCAATGGCGTTAACCAGTAACAGAAGACCAACAACCTTGCCAACAAGCAAGGATGGAGGAATGAATAACCGGGTAAAAGATGGAATAAGAAATACCTTTATGGGAAATGGGAAAAGAGCGGATGGCTTCTCTAGCGGCAGCATCCGCACGCTCATTTAAAGAAACACCAATATGGCTAGGAACCCAGAAGAACTATGATTTAAATTTACTAAGAGATAAGAAACAGTCAATGTTGAATCTCGACTCCCACCGGATGGACAGGATTAAGGGACCCTAGAGCCATGAGGGCACTCAGAGTCAACTACTGCCACAAAGGAGGATTGACAATGAGAAAGCAGGAGACGAAGAGCATAGAGAATAGCATAAAGTTCCGCTGTCAAAATGCTAGCCTCCGGAGGTAGGCGACACACAAGTGCGATCAGGAAAAACAACAGCAGCCTACACCGTCCGCAGACTTAGACCCATCAGTGAAGATGGAAACTGTGCGGGAATGAGAAGAAAAGGGCTCAAGGGAAAGGCATTTGAGAACTGTACAGGGGTAAAAGCTCTAGTGATGTGGGTTAAGGATGTACAAAACTGCGAAAGGGGGACTCTACACGGAGGCAAAGAAGGAACACGAGAAATATTAGAAATACGAACGGAAAGAGAATCCTGCAAACGAGATAACCGGACAGAAAGAGGGAGGTGGTGAAGAAAAAACAGGAACCACAGGAGGGGAACCACAGTTAAAGCACGACAGGCGAGAGGAAGGATGTTGCAAGGACTGCGCAAGACAGCGAAGACAGTAGCGATCACGTCCTGGAGAGATAGGAAGCCAATGTCCACATACAAGCTGAGGACAGGAGTCGAACGAAAGGCACCAGAGAAGGAAAAGAAGACAAGAGACATGGTAGCCAGGGTAGGAAGGGGGGAAAACTCCAGAAGGAGAATCAGGAGGGAGACTTTCTGGGACAAAACGTAAAGGAACTGGGAAGTGTTGGTGGGCATGTCCGGGTCTAAGGCCTGGAAACAGTTGCGGGACTGAGGAAGGAGGGAAGGACGAGGAGGTAGAACGCAACACGCGAACATAAGAAACGCCAGTGAAAGGGTAGAGTCGGCGGACTTGGTGTCTTGCTTAAAAATCAAACGATCCCGGTGTTTCAAGTTGAGGACTGCTTCCTCAAGCTTGTAGTGGATACACGTGCGGGAGAAGGTAAGGTGGGCCTCACCACAATTGAGGCAGCGAGCCTGGGGAGATGAGCAATCTATCTTAGTGTCTATTGTCCCCACACATGGGGGCATAGAAACAAGACTTGTGCATTTGAGGGCAATGTGCCCTTACTACAATGTCTAGGAGAGGGAATGTACTCCTGAACGGAGCACCTGGCACCAGCAAGAATGATATAGAGCGGAAGGTACCTACTATCGAAGGGGATTTTCGCAACTCTAAAGGGGATGATGGCAGCGACCACGAGGGGGTCGAGTGAACGTGTCCACCTGGAAGACAGGGTGGCCCTCGGGCTTCGAGGATATGTTTAATATCCTCATGGCAGTCTTAGGTCCCTAACACCAGTTGCAACATGGTGCGGGAGAACAGTGCGAACACTGGCATTTAACCAAGCGTTTTTGGAGACCTGAACAGGGGTCTCCCCAATACAAGATAATGCAGCTAAGCGGGTAGCTGCATCCGGTGTAGGAGCTGCGACGACACGTGTACCTAAACGGGTGGGGTTAAAAGCAACAGACATCCACTGAATCAACAAGGTGTTTATAGTGAGAAAGCATCAGGAGTAGAATCCAAATGGAGGAGATCAAAGTATCTAGCCCACGAACCAGGACCAAACAAGGCTTGGAACGTATTAGTATGGGAAGGGATCGTGCGAGTACGGCATTAAGAACCCCCAGAGAGGGGGGGGGTTGAAAGATGCAGTAGTCACAATGAGAGACCGAGCCGTACCAGGGGACGAGGTGGTCACCGCTGGGGGCATGTGGCTTGACCCAACCACAGAGGAAGGGGTGCAGGGGGTAGTCAGGAGGGTCAAAGGAAGAGCTAGGTCTGGGCCCACTGTAGCGGGGGGCTACAGAGCCCGATCTTCCAACACAGTCAGACTCGGGGGGGCTTGGTCGCCCACCCCCATGAACTTGAGAAGTCATAAGAGGGAACAGTATTCAGCGTTACAGGATAGGACAGCCAACAGGAGACATGTTGCCGGTCTTGCCGAGGTCCCCTAGGGGTGCGCCGTGAGTATATGCCCCACAATCTTCACCTTAAGAACCATCAGTCCGTCGAGATCAGGTTCAGGGATGAAAAGAGGATTGACAATAAAAGCGTCCCCTCGTCCGAGACATTGGGTACTACAGTTCAATGGGCGAGAGTATGCCTCCCTAAACACCCGGGCATCAAAACAAAAGTCCGAAAGAATAATAAAGACTGGCAAAAGGTCATTAGTAAATGACAATTAGAAAGGAAAAGCAGGGAGTGGGGGTGGGGGGGGGGGGGGAAGAAAACAAAACATAAGGAAAAGGAAAAGTTATCTGGCACAATTCAAGAGGACAGGAGCATAAGGCTACAAAAGGACAGAGGACTGTCCCAAGGAGCATCACACTCCGGCAGCCGCCCACTACACCCCATCACGGCAACAACGGGCTAGACTGGGTATTGGGGGTAGCACCAATAAGTAATTATCAAAAGAAAGTACCAAGTAATTATCAATAGAAGGGACCAAACCGGGAGACTATGTAGCACCAAAAAGTATGGGATAATCAAAATGCACTAAAGATCACTAACGATGCCAATACGAAGCTCTTGAAGGAAATAACTACCAAATTTGAATTTATTTTTTATATATACTGTATATAAAATAGTTACACTAGAATTGAGCTACAGTATTGAAAACGTGGGTAACAGCTCACTCCTGCCACGAGTATGTGGGTGTGATTGTGATCTGAATGAATTTGTACAATAACAGCTTTCATCATAAACCACACAAACCACATAAGTTACAAAAGTTTAGGACATTGTTCACCACATAAGTTGAACAATGTCCTAAAATATTAAATAAAATGCCTTCTTCAGGCACAGGAATCAGTCTGCAAATGATGTCATTTTGTAAAACTATCTTTCATAATATAACAAAATATTCAATATACTGACAAAGTTCCTGTAAGTTTAAATAAATTATTAGCTTAAATTTTCATGTCGCAAACAATATGTATCAGTCTTTCATTCATGCTACATCCATGTTACATCAATGTGTTCACTAAGGTTTCCTTACATCCACTTACTCATGAGTCATAAGCTTACAGATTCTTCACATACTGTCTGTAATATCTCACTCCATTTTACTTTTTAAGTACATTCACATTTCTTGTTCTATATTTCTCAGACTTCACAAGCCAATCGTAAAACCTTAAAATTACTATACACTCGCATATTTTCCTCATAGATACTATTGCTAATTGTCCCTTGCACAAGATGGCAAGAGATGCAGCCAAATAAAAACTCTCATAGCTGATGGAACAAGTTCCAGTTGAGTGAGTAAAGGGGTGTAAGAAACCACCCTGTCAATGACCTATTTGACAAAGTTATATGGATATAAAAAATCCATGGGGCTTAATAGCTCCACTTCTGGGGAAGAGAGATGATATCTCTAAATCACCATCAATCAACATGTGATCAAAATAATTCTTCATATACAACAGAACTGCTGGCCAAGTAATATTAATATGAAATATTGTTGCATCTTTGGTGAAGCAACTTTTGCTTTGGTCACAGACCATAAAACAGCTTCAAATGTCTGAAGCAATTCCCGTCGAGTAAAGCAATCTTCCTAACGTCTACTGGGACGAAAGGAAGTAGAACGATAAGGAGATGGCTGAGGAGTCTTGCTGGGGGTCGGTGGAGGATGTCTTGTGACTAAAGTCTGGATGATGCGGTTCGACACACCAACCACCAAGGAAAACAAGTGCATTTGGCAACCACTGCAAAATGAGATAAATATAATGTAAACCTTAGTACAGTATATAACTACAGAACTTCATTCCTAAAATATTTTATTGAACTTAACAGCCAAAGCAAAATCAACTTTAAAATATTTTCTGTAATCTCTTGATGTTTCAGATATTCACTATCAAATACTGTAATGATACAGTACAAAGTTTTCATTTGAATTTTAATATTTGATGTCCAACTACCCTTTGAATGTGGCAATAATTAAATACACAGCCCCCAGAAATGCAGAGAAATTATTTTATATATTTTTTCTATAGTAGGGACAGTAAGTTATATAAGAATGGAAAAATAGTAAATAGATTTTCCTTGCCATACTGTTAGTCTGGCACATTCATGAAGTTGTACTCACCTAGTGGGTACTATTGGGCTAAGAAGTCAATTTTGCCACTGCCACACACATTCCTTGTGCTTTTGTATCTACATTCTGATACTTTACACTTGCTATTACACAGGAATTATTGTGTGCTTTAACACTAATAAAATCTTTAGTATATTATAATTCATATATAATAATTCATGAAATATATATTAGAATTCCTATTATTTTTTGTGAACGGCAAGAACATAACTGGTTTATTAATAACACTTCAACAAAATTTTGTTTTTACAATATACCAGTAATTTATTATCTTCAGAATTGAATCAAGATTTTTTGGGTAGCTTATTTGAGCTTCAAAGCATAATAATGATAACCTAACTAATCTATGCTACCCACTAAATGGTAAAATTAAATACTGTGTATACCACAGGCCAAGCACTCCTTTGAAAAAATATTTTTGTTTCATGCCCACAAATTTAGAAAGTGTGTTGTCCAAAATTACCAATCATGCAGTTTAAGAACATCTTTGGCGAGAGATGGTAAATACTGTAATATTGGTGTAGCCTGTACACACGAGAGTGTGACTGGAGGAGCTTGACCGTTTAGTCACCAAGATACTCCTGAGTAGTAGTAGGTCTAGCGAGTGTGCATCAATCACTAATGAGTCTTCCTATTTAGAGCAATAAATAAATTAAATGGATAATTTACTACTTTCTACTTTCAAGTGTTGTCTAGAACAGACACTTGCGAGATACTGTATCGACTCTCAGTGCGCTCAACTCACACCATTGCTCACCAAAGTATCACCTGCGTACTTCTGTATACTCGACCAAATATATATATTCTTAGTGTGTGTGTTTATTGTCACTATACTTTACGTAACAATAGAACCGTTACATTACGGTTAGTTAGAAGTTAGTTAAAGCTTGCTCATTAATATACTGTACACAATTTTTAACTGTAAATATTATTGGAAGAATGGCACCTACTGAGTACCTGCTATACTGCTACTGTACCTGCTAAGTTGGAGATTTCGAGGATCAATATTCCCGCATCCCATTCCTCCAGGCCTCCTGGTTGCTGGTCTGATCAACCAGGCTGTTCGATGAGGCTGCCAGCAGCCTGACATACGAGTCACAGCCTGGTTCATCAGGTATGGAGAATGTTGTTACTGAACAATAATACTATTATGTCTATTGCTGGGCTTTAGGACCTATCATTGGACCATACACACACATCTAGGCACATGCACTCACACTGCAACACACGAACTTACTTTGAGTTGAGCACTGGATCAGCCTCGTTAGCACTGATGATGAAAACGGGAAATAACAAAGCAAAGAGACAGCCACTGAAAAAATATAAGCAAATTACACAAATTAAGAACAAATTCATATTAAGGCATTAGTATGTTGAGATGTGACATCCTGGCTGACTACATATACAAAATTTGTATAATAGGTTTATGTAATAAATATGATGAATGAAAATTAATTTCATGTTATTGTGAACTTTACTTTATATAAACAAATCCACAAAGGCCGTGACGAGAATTTGAACCTACGTCAGAGATCATCCCAGACCCTGCCTTTATCGACTGAGCTATGACATGGTTGTAGGTCATTTACTTTATATAGAAATAGAAATATTTTACTTCAAAAATTAATAAATTACAGTGCTGAATCTAAAATCTCTCCAGCACAAGATATGATGAGTGAAGTACAGATGTCAACATTGGACCTCACCTACTATACATTGAAGATTGATACATTGTGATAAATGCCAGAGGAAGGCCAAACCCCATGAAGTACGGCCAGTTCTCCTCGATGAAACTGCAATACAGAAGCAAAGTTACAATCAACATTATGGAATAAATGCCCTTACATCTATTGAGTTCTCAAAATTCCTTTCTCACTCATTCTCAACCTAACAACAAATCTGAGACCCTTCTTTATTGTGAGCATCCATGGTCTGGTTGGTAGGATAACTGTGGCCTCCTTTATTGTGAGCATCCATGGTCTGGTTGGTAGGATAACTGTGGCCTCCTTTATTGTGAGCATCCATGGTCTGGTTGGTAGGATAACTGTGGCCTATATTTTGAGCATCCATGGTCTGGTTGGTAGGATAACTGTGGCCTATATTTTGAGCATCCATGGTCTGGTTGGTAGGATAACTGTGGCCTATATTTTGAGCATCCATGGTCTGGTTGGTAGGATAACTGTGGCCTTCCTTATTATGAGCATCCAAGGTCTAGTTGTAGGGCAATTTAGGCCTAATCTTTAGAGGCCCAAGTTTGAGTTCCCAATGATCTAAGCGAATGACAAAACAAAGCTAAACAAATGGAACCATTATTACAACAAAGTTTATCTTTAACACACTGTGTTAAAGGCAGTGACTGATAAGCATTGGCTATGACTGAAGTTTTTTGCCAGTGACATAAGTGAGATTTATTCCTACTTTATCATACTGTATCATCTGGGAACTGCTCATCTTTACAAAAGTGGTCCATGTACAACCTTCAGTTAACATTTAAAACATTAATGTATTTGACAGCACCTGAATATTTATCCTATAATTCTGCACAATTATTTATTTATAATAATGAAGTAATTACTACTTGCTAGTCACAAAAGAAATCAAAGTTTATATAAACTTTAATGTATATAATTTATTCTAAGTGTAATATTAATATTTGCATAGATATATTGCATTTTTTTACTTCTAAAACATTATCCATGGGTTTTTATTTTGTGTTCTCATAAGCAGTACTAATGTTCTCTCAACCTTATATATTGTGCTTCTCATAACAGCTTCCTTCAAAGATAAGAGTAGCCTCCAGGTAGTGATCCCTATTTCACCCTGTCTTGCCTCTCTGTAATCCCTATAACATGAAGCCTTCCCGTATGTATGTTACGAACCAAAATTCCTCGCCCGAGCACGAAGCAGTGAAGTCCACGCCATCTGCGAGTCCGCTCCCGAAAATCCCATAACATGGACAACGCCATCTAGTGATAACGGGAGATGCTGGCAATAAGTGCTGGATACCTGTCCTAGTCGGCTCGTGACGTAGCCGCTGCTGACCTCTGGTGAGGTGGCGCTTAGACAGTGAACGCCATCTATGGAGCAAAGAGGTGGACGTTTGTGTCTAAGCTAGTAAGTGATGTTTCCTAGTGGTCCCATGTAGTGTCCCCAGTACTGATGACGTGTCTGCTTCAGTCAACCTAGGACGGCTGTGAGGTACGTTGAAATCAGTCTACTCCAGGCAGCCAAGGTCTCTTCACCAGTCTGCTTTGTAGAAGCTGTGAGCCACCCCCGGACGAACTCTGCTGAGTGTGTGATAGCCTGCCTGAGGAGTGGCAGTGACGGGATTCGGCGTCTCAGGGGCTGGCTGGTGGAACAGACCACCCACTGCGGTGCCGACCGAGGAGTGACCAGCGAGTTACACGAGGCTCCTGCCTAGGGCTCGCAACCCTAATATTAGTTGTGGAGTGGCCTAACAGTGAGACTAACTAGTACCTGCCAGCTACAGGCTGGACTGTGGTTGTAGGCCATCACGACGAGGCACCCAGTGGGATTGTAATTTGGCTGGCCTGTGGCCAGGGTAGATTCATCGTGGGTTCTGGGGCCACGGAAGAGGAAACCTGGAAAGGCTACCCAGAGTGAGCGTCGCCGAGTATCCAGTGTCTTCAGAGGAAGACGAAGATGTAAATATTGTGTAGTAATAATTCCCTTGTGTGACTAATTTACATATGGTGGTGGGAAAGGAATATATATACAATTTAGTATACTTGTGTATTTAATGTACCTCCCCCGTTGATTTTACTTGCGTTACGGAGCTCACCCCTTGAAAGCCTCTACTAACTTGGGGCCGGATACCCAAAAAACTAATACCATCAGAAAAGAACTTGGTTGCGTCCCAGTAGAGCCGTAACAATGTAACACTATTTTCCCCTTCCATGATGAACACACTGCCTATCATCAAAACACCTCTACTTCACTCTTCTATTGTACAGCAGTCAAACCATTATTTTGCTTACAAATAATACAGTAAATAGGGAAATACCAGTGTGAAATGACAATTAGTCGTGCCTGATAAACTGGGTTTCCAGAAGACACCTGAATGGAATTATTAAAGCAGGTGTCCAAACAATTTGAGTAAGTTACTACTGACCTACTCTACCAATTCACACATCTTAGTTTTTTAACCACCCCTCATCGTTTATACAAAACTTTATTACATATTCCTTTCCTGTATACTTGTCACATGCATCCTTTACACACTTCTTACATTCTCAATTTTAGACAATCTAGCACTCTCGTGCCATGTTTTTCTCCTGGAGGTCTGATATAGAACAGTCATACTATACTTTCACACCCAATGTAACACTACCTTGCAGAATCTAGGGATTCCAACACTTCTCCCATACACAAGTCTGTGTGTTGTTCTACAAGTGAACTATAAGTAAATTATTGAAGCACACACCAGAGTATAAGGTTGCAGAAGGGAAGAACAGCAGCCAGGCCCTGGAAATTCATGTTAGGCATCAAGATATGAGCACTACTAAATTTCAGCCATTATGGGACAAGAAAACAAGCTTCCCCCACATTACATGAGCTAGTTATTAAGAGCTGAATGTACCTCCTGCTTGATACCTGCTTGATGGGGTTCTGGGAGTTCTTCTACTCCCCAAGCCCGGCCCGAGGCCAGGCTCGACTTGTGAGAGTTTGGTCCATCAGGCTGTTGCTTTGCTACCTTGTTTCCTCACTTTGTGATTTAACATTTGCCCTTAGTGTTTCATAGGTTTAGGTCAACAGTTTAGATTATGCAATCCAGCAGTCCTGAATATTGGCAGCTCTTGATAATAGGATATTTCTAATAATGATTTTTTCTGTACTTGCCACTGATTTTTACTTAGTATACCCATGGCCTAGTTAGCCTATTCTGTATTGATGATTAAACCAATCTCATTTGCCTTGGGATTCAATTGTTAATCTTTGTTGATTTGCTCAATAAAATATCCATGATTAAACTTAAAAAATGAGAGAACGTAATACCTGTAAATGTTATATTGATCAATATAGAGCACATCTTTATAATTATCAAAGATCTTTTATTCTGTAATTTAAACTACCCTCTCCCTATTTACGAGAAAATCATACTTGTTCTGGTTTATTCTCCCTGCATTCCTGTTTGTTTATTTGTTCCCCCCCTTGGGAATTTGAGCCACCTGGGGTAAAGTGATTTCATTGGCCACTGATCTCTTCCCTACTCCATTCTAGCCTAACTATTGATAAAAAAGCCAGTTTAACCCCAGGGCTGTGCAACTATTAATAGCCGACAACACCGCTATGCAAAGAAAAAATTTAAACAAAAAATTTCCTTCTAAGATTGTTAATGTGTGTTCCCTGATCACAGGGAAAAAAAATAAATTGTAGACGACATATTTTAGCCATGATTAGGCGAGGAAGTCTGGTAAGATGCAGGCGGTGAAAGAGTACACGTCAAAGCTGGTCTTATCCAGCCGAGCCATCAGGCAGGAGTTACCGCAAAGATATTATTACCTAATTATTTCAATGTTTCTGATTGAATTTTCACAGTTTTATGCAGTAATATTATTCAATAGTGTGTAGTGTGATATTTATATAATAAAATGTGTAAACTATCACTATTCTCAAAAGGATGGTGAGCATCTCACCTCAAACAGAAGTAGGAGAAAAAGTCCAAAGGAATTTGGTGCATAAACAGGTGTGATAATCACTCATACATAAGCTCTTGCCCCTCTTTGCCTCTTTGGATTTCCCCACCACATGTACACGAACCCACATAAGCACATGCATGTGCACTCTTCCACCACACTACTCACCTTAATCTCTTGTATAGTTCCCAACCCATGTTGAACCATCTGTACTCAAAGGCATAGAGTGCATTAAGCATACACAGGTGAATACCGTTCAGCACCAAATCTACACCCACCAGAGGCACCAGTTTCATCAAGCTAGCCTGGAAAAATGAGTTTATTTACTGCTTATCTAATAAAGTAAAACACACAAGTTTTCCCATGATCAATCACAAATTAAAACCATTGTTTTTCTCAGGTACAACTGCGTTAATGAATACTCAAGATATAATCTTTCTACATGCTAGCCATACTGGACACAACGCACCAACAACCTTCATCCACAGTGACTACTGACCTGAATGAGAAAAAGAAACTGGACAAAGATGGAGATGAGAATATCAGCTACAAGTTTACTGATGCTGCTGATCAGTTGGGGACGTCCTTGGCGCTGGCGATATGCACTGTCGGCTATGTCCTGTGGAGAATAAAGCCACATTAAAACCCATTTACTCTATGCTCTCGGTAAACACAGTATGAACATCCATCACTATTGTACATAGCTATCCATCTGACTAGAAAACTTTGCTGTCAAGATGTTTAGATCTTGAGGTTATCTTGAGATGATTTCGTGGCTTTTTTTAGTGTCCCCCGCGGCCCGGTCCTCGACCAGGCCTCCACCCCCAGGAAGCAGCCCGTGACAGCTGACTAACACCTAGGTACCTATTTACTGCTAGGTAACAGAGGCATAGGGTGATAAACTCTGCCCATTGTTTCTCGCCGGCACCCAGGATCGAACCCTGTATCTAGAGCTGTATCTAGAAATATGCTTAAAAGCCACTATCAACTTGTCTTTCTTCTCCTATTCCTATCCTAAATAATATCTAAGAAAGTTGTAATACTCTATGACACAGACTGTGCTAAGTAGTAGTCCGGGCTTGATGCCTTTTGATAATTACTGTACATACAGTACTTCCAAATAAATATGACTTTCCTAATTAGATGCACAATACAATACCCATATAAATTCAATAATATGCTACATCTTTGCTCTTATTCCAAACTCAACCATGCAACAAAAAGTTTCCCACATTTCGTCTAGTTCCTTTTCATTTTCCAATTAGTCAGTCCAACAGATGGTTCATTCACAGTGTGTATAATTTCCCAAGTGTAGTTACAGGATGAGAGCTACGTTCATAGTCTCCTGTCTTCCCAGAACTTTGTCATGTATTGCTTTGAAACTACTGATAGTTTTGGCCTCCACCACCTTCTCACTTAACTTGTTCTAACCGTCTACCACTCTGTTTGCAAAAGAACACTTTCTAATATTTTTTGGCACTTATTTCCATAGCTTGAATCTGTGACCTCTTGTTCTTGAAGTTGCTGGTTTCACAAATTCCTCTATCAATTTGGTCGATTCCTGTACTGTAATTATATTTAAGGGGGTGAACATACCACCTATTTTTCTTCTATATTCTAGCTTTAGCATATTTAACACCTTTAGCTCTCTCTCTCTAACTTGTTTTTCAGTTCTAGAAGCCATTTTGTAGCATGCATTTGCACCTTTTTCAGTTTACTGATTTGTTTGAGATATGGGCATCTTGAGACGATTTTGGAGCTTAGCGTCCCCACGGCCTGGTCCTCAACCAGGCCTCCTTTTTGTTACACAAAACTGTTCACTACACTGTTCAACTGTTAAACTGTTCACTTAAGTGTTTCACACGTTTCCTACATGTGTTTCCTACACATTGTGGTGTTCCAGTGGTAGAGTATGTGGTTAGCAGTGCCTTCTTCTTGAGGTTATCTTGAGATGATTTCGGGGCTTTTAGTGTCCCCGCGGCCCGGTCCTCGACCAGGCCTCCACCCTCAGGAAGCAGCCCTTGACAGCTGACTAACACCCAGGTACCTATTTTACTGCTAGGTAACAGGGACATAGGGTGAAAGAAACTGCCCATTGTTTCTCGCCAGCGCCTGGGATCTAACCCAGGACCACAGGATCACAAGTCCAGCGTGCTGTCTGCTCGGCTACGACCTTGGTCGTAGGTTCGTGCCCACCTCACAGCTCTAGTGGCATTTCTCTCAAGATATTCATTAATTTTCACAACTTTTGTTAGACCAAAGCTGGAATATGCAGCGGTTGTATGATGCCCATATCTTAAGAAGCACATCAACAAACTGGAAAAGGTGCAGAAACATGCTACTAAATGGCTCCCAGAACTGAAAGGCAAGAGCTACGAGGAGAGGTTAGAGGCATTAAATATGCCAAAACTAGAAGACAAGAAAAAGGCGATATGATCACTACTTATAAAATAGTAACAGGAATTGATAAAATTGATAGGGAAGATTTCCCGAGACCTGGAACTTCAAGAACAAGAGGTCATAGATTTAAAACTAAAAGATGCCGAAGAAACAGGAAAATTCCCTTTCGCAAATAGTGGGGTAGACGGTTGGAACAAGTTAGGTGAGAAGGTGGTGGAAGCTAAAACAGTAATTTCAAAGAGTTATATGACAGTGCTGGGAAGACGGGACACCACAAACACAACTACACTTGGGGCAACTACACTATTTCAATGTGTAAATCCAAAGCTTTTTCCATCATATTTTCTCTTAACGTTGAGAGGTGATTAACACATCAGGTAATATGGCTAGGTGAGGCATAAAGAGCTAGAAGAGCTACAGTCTTGGATTAGATTAGCCGTCTCTGTGGCACAGTGGTAACACTCGCATTGCACTTCATAAGTGATTTGGCCTGGGTTCATATCCTGGCCGGGGAGGATTGACTAGGTGCCAATCCTTAACTGTATGCCTCTGTTCATCCAGCAGTTTATGGGTACCTGGTTGTTAAAACAATTTAGCAAGTCATATTCCATGGAAGATTAAGATTAGGAACCTGCCCGAAATGCTATGGATGCTATTGGCTTGACAAGATTGTAAAAACTCTTGTATATATAAATATTCATATATATATATAAAAAAATATCTCACTGATAGGTAAAAACTTACTTCCATACATACACTGTTACATACCACAGTTACTTGCATGTGTACATTATTACTTCCATACATTCATTTGTTACTTCCATATAAATATCTCAATTAAGAATACTTAAAGTAAACAAAATGTAAATAAAATAATTACCAAAAGATGAAGCCATAAGTCACACCTGGCAAACAAGCAATATACTGCTCCTTTGAATGCAGCCAGCAAACTCTAGCAAGGGTGCTTAAATGCAAGTGTTGCCCCTTTTTTTTATAGTTGTGACTTAAAATATATCAAGTAGATGCTGAAAGTACTTGAAAAATACTTTAATCTTTTCAACTAAATATCAAGAACATGTTTAAAGTACATTATGAAATTGCAAGAATGGTACAAACACTAAAAAATTGGTACTTGAGTACTAATTAAGCACTTGAACCCAACAAACCATGGTCACACCACAATGCGTACTTGAAACCATATGGTGTTAATGATCCTGGAGAGCACGAAGAGTGGCAAGACCCACAACGTGTTGAAGATGGTAGTTAGAGTGGGCAGCACCAACGACCACACTGGCCCCGCTTCCTCATCCAGAAACAGCCCCAGCACCTGCTTCAGTCCCGGCAGCAGCATGTAATGGAACAATGCCACACTGAGGCCGAAAACAGCACCGTTGAGGATGCAACACTGCAAGATGCGATGGGTCACTTTGGTCTCGCTGCAAACAAATGTAGTACCAAAGACCATCACCAGGACGTAATGTCACAAATTACCAAACAAATACTTTAATACTGAAATACTGTTTATTGCCACTTAGTTTCTATTATCATAATGAACTTCAAAAGTTTTCATTTTATAAATACTGTAAACCTAACTCCCATTTAATGAGTTCTAAATCATAATTTATTTACAGGTAAAATTTGAAAATAATTGAAGTATAAGCATGTAATCGCAACAAGTGTGACATGCTTCTGGCTCACAAATGCGGCCATCACCACATGGAGCAGATCTGTAGAGTAACATCAAATACCTAGTACCCTATACCATAAACACAGTATAACTTCCTTAAAAATAACAAATAAAACCCTGACAATTTTAAGACCGAATTTCAGAACAATAGCAGTTTCTATTAGATTTGTATTACTTAGGGGGGCGTCTTACTATATTTTTAACACTTTCGTTCAGTAAGAACTAGGCATCGAGTCATTCGTTAAATAGAGGGAAGTCTGGTAACGACTCTGCATCGAGTCTTCCACTAAAGTATTTGCCAAAAATACGGTTTTTATTCAATTTTGGGGGGACTGATTTTAAACTGCGCACCAACGCGCCGCTCGCCGCCTTTGGGGAAAAGGGGACACTAAGTGCAAGGCATGTAATGTGGCACTGTGTCCTGGACCATGCTACACCAACTACCATCGCAAGAAACAATTCTGGGCTGATAAGCAGTAATGCTCGCCCACCATCCACTCCACCTATAAAAAGCATGTGTTGACCCTTCAAGAAACATTTTCCTGCTGCAGGTGGAGTGGATAAAACTACTGTTCAACCCATGTCATGCGCCACAAACCCCGAATTGCTAAGTACAAAAAGTTTTAGTTTTTTATATAGTTTATATTATTGTTTATACTTTATTGTATTGTATTTGCAATATTGTTCTTCAATTTGCCCTTGTATGCATATATCCATCTAAAGCATTCCATTAGAAACAATTTCAAACCAAAATGAGTGCTGTAACACAATTTGATGTTAGCAACCGGAATATACACTAAACATTTGTGGGTGGGAACTGGGGGTGTAGCGAGTGGGCGTCTGGGCGCTCCCTTGCGGGTAACACTTGGCCCGTCTTCAACTTGTCGGCGGATGGAGCGTGACCAGGTTTTTTTAATTTATATGCATATACTCCTCTAGAGAATTCTATTGTGAACCCATTGATACCAAAATGAAAGACCTAGGACGAAAATTGAGGTGACCAAAGTGAAAAGAGTACACATTTCATCGCTCTTGCGCACTCCCAGGTCACTCGCTCGCAATTTGTTTGCTGTGGGTGGTAAGCCGGGCTTTTGGAGTTTATATGCATTTACTCCTCTAGAGAATTCTATTGCGAGAACATTGATACCAAATTGAATATTTTAGGACGAGAATTGAGGGGGGGGACAAAGTTGGAGAGAATACACGTTTCAGAATTACCACGCGCACCCGTGGAATGCCCAACCCACCCGGGGTAGTGGGGAGGTCGTGCGCTCAAGAGCGCGAAAGTGTTAACTACAATCACAGTTCAGCCTTACAGCACTGTTTAGGGCGAGTGCTAAGGCAGAGCTTGGAATAAAAAGAAAATATAATATATTCAATGCATGCAGATACAACTTCGTGCAAAACATGGGAGGCTCGGCTGAACTTTGATAACTGGTTACGAGATTATTACTCCCACCAGAACTGCTTAGTGCTTCATAATGGTGTATGAAAATGTAGTTACAGTATACTGTATATATATACATATAGTGTATATTGTGCAACAGCAGCAAAAAACAGTGTGTGTTATTGTTCTAAGATGTAACTGTGTGCATATTAGTGACAAATATATTTGAGTGTTCAGATGTTCTACACATTATATAAATTTCTTAAATGACACACTAATGCATAAAATTGGAAAAAAATCAGATATTGAAATAAATCTAAAAATATCTTCGAGGAAACATAAGAAGAACATAAGAACATAAAGAGGGATGGTAACTGCAGAAGGCCTATAAGCCCATACGAGGCCACTCCTATTTATAACCATCCAATCTCGAAATTCATATCTAAATATGAATCTCGATATGGATACGACATACTGTATGAATCTTATTCATTTATATATCTAACCTATGCTTGAAACAATCAAGAAATCCTACTTCTATTATGTTACGCGGTAATTGGTTTCACAAATCAACAACCCTGTTACCGAACCAATATTTACCCAGATCTTTCCCAAATATAAACTTATCCAACTTATACTCATTGTTTTATACCCCCCCCATTGTTTCATGTTGTCTTGTATTGATACTTTTAATACCATATTAATATCCTCTGTTATGTCCACTCATTCACTTTTACACCTCTATCATTCATTGCCTTTCTAGAGAATAATTTAAGCTGTCAAACTTCCTTCATATGAAAGATTTCCAAGTTGTTTCAAGATTCTTAGATGGACCAAACAGTGGTCCATCATCTATCATCGCTAAATAATAGCAGTTACATATATATTTTAAAATTTGTAAGCGATGCTGGGGCCACAAGGTGAACAGCTGTGCTGTTAGCTCATGCTGCATGCACCAGGGAATGATGCCCATGATTATTTTGTTTAATGGCATCTGTTTACTGGAGCCCTGAGGTAGCTGTTGTAAACTCTGTGTAGCCATGACTTAAACCTTATGCTGTACTTTAACAAGTATATATACAGTGTGCGCCGTGCAGGTAATTAGACCAAAATCATATACTGTACTGTATAGTACAGTAGTGTCATTCGAGGGTTAAAGCCAAAATATGCACAATGTTCAAAATAAAGCAAATAGAATACTGGGACTTATTTCTAGAATCATTAGCAATAAAACACTAAGTGATATTCTAAGAACAGCTATATTCTGCACTTAGGTCCTATATAGATTATGCAGTTCAGTTTTGGTTGCCATTCTACAGAATAGACAAATTCACTAGAACACATTCAGCGAAGGATGACAAAGTTAATCCTACAAATTAGAAACAAAGACTTGGCAAAGAATTAGGAGTGAGATATTAATAAGGTATTAAATATATCAGCACAATATAGAACATGATACAATGGACAAATTGTATAAGTTTAGATTTAGGAAAGACCTGGGTAAATACTGGTCTGCAAACAGGTTTGTTAATTTGTGGAACAGATTACTGGTAATGTAGTTGACATTAGCTTGTTTGATTGTTTCAAGCGTAGGTTAGACATAGGTGAATTAACTTTCACGTGAATTACCAGTATGTGGTGTAGTGGTAATACACTCGCCTGGCGTTTCGCGAGTGCTTTGTCCTGGGTTCGTATCCTGGCCAGGGAAGATTTACTGGGTGCAAATCTTTAACTGTAGCCTCTGTTTAACTCGACAGTAAAATGGGTACTTGATTGTAAAAACGCTTCTTCGTGGGGTCGTATTCCAGGGACCATAGAAATAAGAACTTGCCAGAAACGCTACGCGTACTAGTGGCTATACAAGAATGTATAAATCATCCCTCTTGTATACATCTCAAAAAAAAAAAAAACTATAAATACGAGCTGCCATGTTTGGGTTAGTTGGCGTTCTACAGTTTCTTTATTTCTTATGTTCGGGTGTATGAGGCAGCGCCTATTTATATCTACGGCACATATTTCTATCCACAATATAAATAGGAGCTGCCTTGTTTGAACCAATAGGCCTCCTATAGTTCCTTTATTATGTTCAAATGATGATTGGTTGACAACCATATACAGTTGTGAAAACCATATGAACATAACTGGCATCCATATCATGTAATTATAATGATTTCATGTACTGTATCAAGGTAAACTTAACAACATCCATATAGCCATGTTAGCACCATTTGTGTAAAACCCAGAGAATGATTAACCAGAATATGATAACTGCATTACCCTGTGAATCAATGTATGACAATAACCGCACTTTAAAGGTTAGTCTCGTGGTTTTCATTTAACAGGATTCCATTATATAGCTGTAGGCTTCAATAATAAAGACAAAAGCCTACATAAATTTGACATGCGCACAAGTCCTAAGCATAATAATATACTAAATTGTTGGAAATGGAAAATAAATTAGAAATTATATTACAAAAGTTAGAATCGGACTAATAAGAGAGTGATATCATGCAATGAGTTGTTAGCCAAGGTTAAAGATGTTTACATGAGTGTTTCAAGATAAATTGATTTATGAGAAAATCAAGTACTGTAACTAAAATACATTAAACTCAGTGCTGTAAAATATTAAGATCAATGCTAAATATATCATGTGATCACTGATTACCATAAACAAGCCAAGCAGTCAATACAATACCGAGAGCCAGCTGTCACATGCACATAGGGATCTCGGAGAATCCTCCACAGCACTAACTCTTTTTGTAAAGCTTGCTTTTTTTTCTTTTCCACCTGCTGCGCTGCACGTCTCTTCGCCAAGTTGGTTTCCTGAGAAGGGGAGCTGCGGGGCTTCTCTGGCACTTCTGCATCATACCCGAAGATGAGGACAAACCCGGCAACGCTGTCTCTTAATCCTCTAAAAAACCCACGGAGTATTAACTGGAAAACAAGATGGTGACAGGTAAGCAACCAGAGTTTTTGTCCTCTGTACCAGTACAGGTAGTTAATATAAACATTATACAGGTTATCTTCTTGAGGTTGAGAGATTTCGGGATTAGCGCCCCTACGGCTCAGTCCTAGACCAGGCCTCCTTTTTGTTACACAGCCCCAGGAAGCAGCCCATAGCAGCTGTCTAACCTCCCGGTACCTATTTCCTGCTAGGTGAACAGGGGCATCAGGGTGAAAAACGCCCATTTGTTTCCGCCTCCACCAGGGATCGAATTCGGAACCTCAGGACTACGAATCCAAAGCACTGTCCATTCAACTGTCAGGACCCTACTTTTTTTTTTTTACTCACTAATTTTTAATAAATTGCAGATACTTATATTTTGAATTAATGTGCCTCAGAACACTTTACATTTTACATAATTACCAAGTGGTCATGTTGACTGTCCCAGTAGTATAGTCGGGTTCCTTTTTGACACCCAATTGAGAATTCCAGGTTCAAATCCTGGACAGATCAGAAATGGTTGGGCACATTTCCTATCACCTAATGCCCCCCTGTTCACCTAGCAGTAGGTACCCAGGAGTTAAGTCAGCTTGTTGTGGGGTTGCATCCTGGGCTGAGTCAGCAATTCAACCTGGGAGAGGGGGAGGGGCAGAATCTCAATATAATCCTAACATTAATGAATACACTCTGGCTTCCTGTTCCATGACACTGAATTATTACCAAAAATAAATACAAATTAAATTATAACAGTTTGGTAATAAGTGTGTTAGACAATAAGTAAGTATATTGTGTACCAATGTACACAACATACACACTGAAATAAGTGATAAAGCTTACCAAGCTATCACTGGATGCAAATAGACCAGAGAAATTAGTAATACACAAACACCTCTAAACCCCACACATAAAAGCATTATACAATACAGTACAACCTCGACTCAACACACCTCGATTCGGCGAATCTTTGGCTAGGTGCAGAAGTCATAATAACATGGCTGAAATATGTTGACCAAACCACACTAGAAAGTGAAGGAATGACAATGTTTCGGTCCTTCCTGGACCATTCTCAAGTCTATGGTCTAAGACGGACCGAAACGTCGTCGTCCCTTTACTTTCCAGTGTGTGGTTTGGTCAACATACTCCTGCTAGGTCACACACGTTGTGCTCGATTTACTCACCCAGTTCGGCGTACTGCACTCTGGTTTGCCGAAGCAAGGCATGTGCAGATTTGCTTACGATGTTGGGACAGTCCACAGACTGGTAGAAATTTCCCATTCTATCATAGGAAATTTCCCATTCTCTTTACAGAAGTGCAGGGAGCAGGGATTATTAACGTCACACTACCAGGAATCAGTAAAGTTTTACAGAAAACTGCAAGGTGCATAGAAAACAAATCACAAATGGCCAAAAAATTCCGCAAAACTTTTCAGAAAAAAAAGCAAGTATTGTATATCTAGCAAGCATCATTCCATTAGTACTGAATGCCACCACCAGATGGGCTGAAGCCCCAACCCCCACACACTTTCATTGACGAAATGATGAACCAACGAACCTGGAAGGGAGGGACGAAGAAAGTCAGGGAGCCATTTTGGCTGTACCAAAATGAGGCGTTTTATTTGATTCAGTGCTGGTTTTCAGGGATGAGCCCCTTGGTGGCTACCTGAATCTATCTACAGAGAAAGCAGAAACAACGAACTTACCAGGGAGGAGAGGTGGTTGGTACTAGGTCAAAGAACATGGGCCAGGTAAGTCAGTCCAGTGCCACACAAGACCACCTGGTACCAGGGACATTAAATATAGGTGTACCAAGACCCTGTTATATACCTCCAAAACCCCCAAAGCTAGAATATCAGCCCATGATATAGTGGAGTAGACCACTGCCAATGCAGATTACTTACAATCAAGGGCCCAAGGGTATCCCACAGGTTAGCTCAATTTTATGACACTGCTGATGACCAAAGAAGTACAAGCCTTAGAATAGGAGACTAAAGAAACAGGGTCAATGTTGACCAGACCACACTAGAAGGTGAAAGGACGACGATGTTTTGGTCCGTCCTGGACTTAAGTCGATGAATCGACTTGAGAATGGTCCAGGACGGACCAAAACATCATCCCTTCACCTAGTGTGGGGTCTGGTCAACATTCTTCAGCCACGTTATTGTGATTCATCGCCTGCAAACAGGGTCAACAAATAATGTGTCCACCAGAGCAGAAATGATGTCATGCAGGAAGTGGCAAAGTGCCACTGCAGGGCACCTGTTCGACTACCTGTTCATGATTCCAAGGATCAATGTTCCCAATGCCCAGTCTCTGATCAGGCCTCCTGGTTGCTGGTTTGATTACCTGGCTGTTCGATGTGCCTGCTCGAAAGAATGTTATACCCCTGGCTGGACAAATCAAGCATGACCCACCAAAGGACCCCTCCAGAAACCAGCCAACTCATTCTACACCAAAAAGGAGGTTGCAGACAAACGGGCTACCAGGACCTAACAAGCAGAACCCTTGCCTCCAACAGTATGAATATCTCCAACCCAACAGCCAAAGACAATAGCTAAAAACAAAGTCTTGAGAAAACATCCATGGCCAAAGTGGCAACTGTGAACCGGGAGGATGAAAAACATCGAAACTGTGTCAAGAAGCCAAGACAGCTCAGGAGGCACATGAACTGGCTGGAGGTGAAAGAAGGCACCAGACAACTTGCAGAACAGAGCCGAAGACATATACCGACTCCAAATACAAGAAACAGTGGCTCCATCTATGCAAACGATATGAGGCAACAGTCACAATAACATGGCTGAAGAATGTTTACCAAACCACACTAGAAAGTGAAGGGACGTTGACGTTTCGGTTCGTAATGGTCCAGGACGGACCGAAACGTCCTCGTCCCTTCACTTTCTAGTGTGTGGTTTGATCAACATGAGCCAACAGTTATCAACCAGGTAATCAACCAGGTAATCAACCAGGTAATCAACCAGTTATGGTAATAAGGTCTAAAAACCTAAAACTAATCATGACAAGGAGAGAACCTGCCACATGGCTGAAAAATTGAATAAAAATTTAATCACAGTTAACTCGCTAAATTTGACAATATTTATTTTATGATTTTCCTAAGAACCATGCACTAAATCACTGAAATAATATAGATATAATGTTGATTCTAAAAGATCTTTAAAAGATACCTTTCATATTTCAATATACTTTTTCACTATACATGATATGTTCATTTTTTTTTTTTTTTTTTAGTTCTATGCAATGGTACAGGCACCACGGATTTTTTCAGCACTGGAGACCAGTGATTGTCCAGATACCACACAGCTTACCCTAAGACAGTTTAATATGACGAGTTAAGGTCATGTAAATTTAAGGCAAGCAAACTAAATATGAGAAGGTAAGGCAAAGATAGATAAGGTTAAAATATGAACAAGGGGTTTAGCTAAATATAACTATGTAACAATATATGGTAAAGTAGGGTACCAAGACAAAGGGGTGGTAAAGTAGGGTACCAAGACAAAGGGGTGGTAATGTAGGGTACCAACACAATTGTTTGGTAAATTAAGAAAGAAATTAATATAGTAAGACGATATGCATGATGAGAGAGCAGGTTAGGGCAGGTTCTCAGGTTAGAGTTAGACGCATGCATCAGGGTGGTTCCGTTACAATCTATAGGGATAAGCATAATATACATGGCTTACACTAACAGTTTTACTGGTAATCAATCACACAACCAGATCTAGAATTATAATCAAATGATGTTAACTCATTCAGCGAAGTGCCAGGTCCTGAATAAGACATAATACAATTTATCTAGCCTACAGACTTGGCAGCTTTGTATATTTAACAGTATCGCTCGCTTTGGACACCGATCACGTCCTTTTTTTTCTCAGAGTCCATGTCGTGGACAGCTCTCGCGTCCACTACAAAAATATTTGTATAAAATTCAATTTTTTATCCGATCAACCTCGGGATAGTTTCAAAATAAGAACCTTTAGAATGCGCACAATTTGATACCAAAATGAAAAATGTAACAAACTTTATGTCAGAACACTTTAAGGGGGCGTCTGGTTATTATAATGAAAGTTGTTCAATGTCAACCAATATTATTTTTCCAGTTGTATATGAAAAGTGCTTAAATTGTCCCAAGTTTCAGTACTGCAGCGTAAATAGAAAGGGAGTTTTTTTTTTTTTTTTTTTTTTTGAACGTTTTTTACACATTTTCAAGTTCACACTTCAGAACACACGTTTCAGATAAAATTATTCTGTGACACTTTTCTGACACATTAGCATATAATAAAGGATTTGGGGATTTAGAATTTCCAAAACATCTTTAGTTTTCCTAATACAAATGTTCAAAGTTCCCCAAAATTTTTTTGCAAATATGGCATGTTTATTGCTATTATAAAATCAATAAATGAACTTAGAGAAAAATGAAAGCCCCCCAATGTAGAGACATGCCCTCCACATATACTGTGTAAGTTTCATGTAAATTGAATAAAAAAAGAATGAGTTTTGTAAACGTTTGTGTCAATTGAAAAAAAAACAGAAATGAATAAAGTCTAAGGTTCTAAAATCTGTGGCTGGGGTTGACATCAACCAATTTTCTCCAAAATTGGCATCCTTACAGATAGGCTTACGTACAGTCAGGTGTGTAAGTTTGATGCAAATCGCCCCAAAAAAAATGAGAAAAAAAAAATATTTAAAAAAAAAAAGAAAAAAAAAATCCTTTTTTTTTTTTTTTCCTTAAATTTTTTTTCCAATTAAACTAATAATAATATTTGTTTAATATATGCTATTGTGATAGCAAAGAGTTGTAGTTATGATTTCAGTTGACACTTTTGATTGATAATCGATTTTGACCATTTTTGCATAATTTTCACAACTACTTCAATATTTTTTTTCTCCCTTCCTATTTATGCTACAATGCTGAAACGTGGACCAGATGAAACACTTTTCATATAGAACTTGTCAAAAAAGTTTGATTGAAATCGAATGAGTTTGCATTTTTTGACCCAGATGCCAACCAGACGCCCCCTTAAAGATTATAAATACTTTTTGGGTCTAAATTTTAAATTGTAAAATATTTGTCAAAATTCTATTTATTGTGCTATTATTATGGGACTAGTTTTAAAATGTGCGCCTTTATATTGCGAACAATTTCATACCATAACGAGCAATGTAATATGAAAATTGATGTCAGAACACGGAAGATAAATAATTTTGATGAGCGTCCAAAATTAAAATGTTAAAATTCCAGTTATTGCTCTATTATGAGACTAGTTTTAAAATGCGCGCCTTTATATTGTGAACAAATTGATACCAAAACAAGCGATGTAACATTAAAATTGATGTGATCAAACTGAACGAGTATACACATTAGGTTGTGGCAAGCAAATTGGTGCTCGTTCACGGGTACTTGTAGGCATTCTTGCGGGGAGTCTCACCAGGCTTTTGGACATTGTATGCATATACATCTGCAGGGAATTTAATTGCGAACACTGATACCAAAACGAATGACGTAGCATGAGAATTAAGGTGAGAAAACTGAAACGAGTACACACATTTCGGCATCGCCGCACGCTCGCCCGCACCATTAGCCCCATGACGTCAAAGTCTGCGGTGCTCACGTGGCACGGGCGATAGTGTTAATGCATCATATTTAAATAGTCATCATATTTAATGCATTATGGCTGTAGACTGAAAATATGCTAAGGATACATGTGATTTGTGGCTTCATACAAAATATAAATACCTGTATAAAGAATTTATTCCGTAATCATAGACCCATATATTGTTAATAAATAATAACATTATTTGCTAGATTGGTTATTTAGCAAGACATAAGGTATTAGTTAGGTCACCTGGCTAAGTTATTTAATGGAATCCTCAAAATACAATGTATTAGATTAGAAATTTAGCTATGGTATTAGTTAGGTTAGCCTCATCATTAGGTAAAACATTTCCCAGCAGCCAGATAACACAAATTGCTAGCAGAGCTTCATGCACAATTTTGCAATCTTGTATCTTTTCCCCAGAATGAGGCGAGTTGACCCAAGAACAGCACTGACTGCAGTCACAAACAACACGAAGCAGAAGTGTTACCCCTCCACCGATACAACATTTTAGGCTCTGGTCCATGTAGCCTGGATGATGATATGTGACATTTCAGAGCATCAGAATATTTAAGCCAGATTTGGTCATGGGTAATGAGAGAGCACTGTGCAGGATGTTATCAGTTTTATCTGTTAGTATCAATTGCTACGAACTCTGCCTCAACATGTTTATATAACAAGCGTATTACTGCTTATTATAGTCAATCATGAGATACAATGAGGGCAGGTGAGGCCGCGACACACACACACAGTGCTCTATGTACTCGCCTGAGGTCAGAGTGCAAGATAGTGTGCCCCCCCCCTTGACACAGGTCACCCTCAAGTGCCCATTAACCCCTTCCTCATTACACTCACACACCACTCATGCTCAACACTCACACTCAACTCGCCCACACCACACAGTTACCACCCTAACTACTCCCAAACCACGCCACTACACACACCTTACGAAAACTACACTAATTCGCACGGATATCTACCTTCAGTGAATCCATTTCACACAATGTAGGTATTTCCTCGATAGACGATGCTCGGCTGCCGCACACGCTTGTTCCTGGAATTTAATGGTGTTGAAGAGTAAAGATAAACTCCTGGACACTCTAGCCGGAGATCGCTCCGCCATCTTCCACACTTATTGTTTACATCCAACAGCTGATAGATTGGCGCAATAAATTTAAATTTATTTTCATAGATGCATATGTTTTGCGTAGATAAAATTAAAATATACTGCCTACTTTACATAACCTTAGTTTTTTTATGAATTATTAAAAATAAAGTATGTATAAAATAAATCTCTGGTGCTGATTTTGGCTGGCCGAAGTCCTTTAACTAGTACTACTGTATACATTTGGGCTACTGTATCTTCATACACTCAGGAATATTGTAAAATATTCTTGTGCTGTACACAGAATTTGCTAGCGGAGGCCAATTGATCAGCCTCTCATTTTTATGTTCTCTTCTGATACCAAAAAATGTATAACGTTTTTCTTCTTTTATATTAACAAGCTTAGAAGGGGGTTGAAATAGCGTAAGCTACTCTCTCCCATTTTTTTTAATGTCTCAATAAACTTACTTGAATTTTAACTTGAACACACTTAGGAATACACAGCGAAGCGGGCGACGACTGGAGGTGAACAAAGGTCGTGACCCGCCCTGCCCTCGTTTAAGTATCCCCCACCTGCTGCGCGCTCAGCGCATGTCGCAAAGCGCTGTTCATGTTTCCCTCCCTTCCCACCCCCCAGAAACTCCACTGCTTTTATTCAAGCAGTGTCCATAAGTTCATCTAATATTCCCATCTCACAGGATGGTTAGTCATATATGGAATCAGGGGAGAAAATACTGGCCTCAATTATACAGAAACAAATCAACTCTGACTAAACAACAACTTCACGAGAACAAATCCACAAGGGCGTGATGAGGGTACTATGCATCCGGTCCATAGAATTACCCAAATTGGCCCAAATCGGCCCAAAACTACACAAATCGTCCTAGCATCTTATCTTGAGGTTATCTTGAGATGATTTCGGGGCTTTTTAGTGTCCCCGCGGCCCGGTCCTCGACCACGCCTCCACCCCCAGGAAGCAGCCCGTGACAGCTGACTAACACCCAGGTACCTATTTTACTGCTAGGTAACAGGGGCATAGGGTGAAAGAAACTCTGCCCATTGTTTCTCGCCGGCGCCTGGGATCGAACCCAGGACCACAGGATCACAAGTCCAGTGTGCTGTCCGCTCGGCCGACCGGCTCCCTTAGCATTACGTAAGTAATGAAGAAATATGGTATATTTACTTACTATAATGTTGGTGCTACACGTAGAACATGATCAAACCTATTTTTACTCTGAAATAATCTAATTTCATAACGAAATGAGACGGAAATATGTGAGAGGTGACGCCATAGGAAGTCGACGGTCCAAGCGACAATTGTGTGGAGCGACTTATCCAAGATATATGGTCGCCTGGAGAGTGTTTGCTGCCATATCAGCCTCCTGTACACAGTGATCCAGTCGTCGCATTTCATGGCTCAAATTGTCGCAAATTTAATTGGTGATATTAAGAAGTAGAATGTGTATTTATATAATATCTTTCATAAACAGCCACTAAATCTTTAATATTTATTAAACAAAACGTGTCTGGAAGTTAAATCAACTCCACAGGACAATAAATTTGTTATATAGATACTAGCGTTATTCGTTGGTATGCGTTCGCAATTTAAACTGCTCATGTCCTTTTCGTTCATTGAACACCGAACCCTACACAACCATGCACAACTCAAAGTCCAACAAGTCACACCCCCGGAGTAATGCAATCGGAACCTGACAAGTTGTGTAACCGGAGCCCGACCAGTTGTGTAACCGAAGCTTGACCAGTTGTGTAACCGGACCCCGACCAGTTGTGTAACCATAAGCCTAGCACGTATACATCTCATCCAACCCCCACCATTAAGCTAAACAGTCCCAGAGCACAACCAAACTCCATTCCTAGCTCGACCAAACAAAAATCTGCTTAGAGCTACCTAAAACCCTCCACTTGTCCTAGAAACACACTATGGAGCCATATCAAACAATTGAACTATACACAAAAAAAGAAACCCAAATTTCTAGCAAACAAACATAAAGCCCTTGCAAAGAAACAAAGCCCTAGCAAACAAACCTGGAGCACTAGTATACAAACAACCACTGGAGCACAACCATGTACGAACAGGAGCACAACCATGTACGAACCGGAGCACAACCATGCACAACTCAAAGCCCAACAAGTCACACCCCCGGAGTAATGCAATCGGAACCCGACAAGTTGTGTAACCGGAACCCAACCAGTTGTGTAACTGCAAGCCTAACATGAACGAACCAAACATACAGCCTCCGGATCACAACCATGCACGAACGGAAGCCCGACCATGCACAACCCAAAACTCAGGTGACACCCCCGGAGCCCGACCAGTTACTTAACCGGAGCCCGACCAGTTATTTAACCGGAGCCCGACCAGTTATTAACCGGAGCCCGACCAGTTGTGTAACCTGAGCCCCACCAGTTGTGTAACCGGACCCCGACCAGTTGTGTAACCATAAGCCTAGCACGTATACATCTCATCCAACCCCCACCATTAAGCTAAACAGTCCCAGAGCACAACCAAACTCCATTCCTAGCTCGACCAAACAAAAATCTGCTTAGAGCTACCTAAAACCCTCCACTTGTCCTAGAAACACACTATGGAGCCATATCAAACAATTGAACTATATACAAAAAAAGAAACTCAAATTTCTAGGAAACATATAAACAGAGCCCTAGCAAACAAACCTGAAGCACTAGTACACAAATAACCACTGAAGCACAACCATGTACGAACCGGAGCACAACCATGTACGACCCGGAGCACAACCATGTACGAACCGGAGCACAACCATGTACGAACCGGAGCACAACCATGTGCAACCCAAAGCCCAACAAGTCACACCCCTGGAGTTATGTAATCGGAACCCGACAAGTTATGAAACCGGAGCCCGACCAGTTGTCTAACCACAAGCCTAGCATGAACGAACCAAACATACAGCCTCTGGATCACAACCATGCACGAACGGAAGCCCGACCATGCACAACCCAAAACTCAGGTGACACCCCCGGTGACATCCCCGGATTTGAACCACTGAAGTGGTTCAAATAGCCTCGGCTATCACTTCCTTTTGTCCGGTCGTGATGGTCAAGCGGATTAAGGCGTCCCTGTACATACCAGTTGCGTTGCTCCTGGCAGTATGGGTTCGAGTCACTTCTGGGGTGTGAGTTTTCAGTTGTATATAGTCCTGGGGACCATTCAGGCTTGGTTGCATTTGTGTTCCTCACATGTTGCCCCAAAGAATGAGGTGATTTGATAAAATGCTATGCCCAAGATTACCATCCGAGTGCCGGCGGGGAAGTGGTTCAAATAGCCTCGGCTATCACTTCCTTTTGTCCGGTCGTGATGGTCAAGCGGATTAAGGCGTCCCTGTACATACCAGTTGCGTTGCTCCTGGCAGTATGGGTTCGAGTCACTTCTGGGGTGTGAGTTTTCAGTTTTATATATATATATATATATATATATATATATATATATATATATATATATATATATATATATATATATATATATATATATATATATATAATATATATATGTATATATATATATATATATATATATATATATATATATATATATATATATATGTCGTACCTAGTAGCCAGAACTCACTCCTATGCCTACTATGCAAGGCCCGATTTGCCTAATAAGCCAAGTTTTCATGAATTAATTGTTTTTCGTCTACCTAACCTACCTAACCTAACCTAACTTTTTCGGCTACCTAACCTAACCTAACCTATAAAGATAGGTTAGGTTAGGTTAGGTAGGGTTGGTTAGGTTCGGTCATATATCTATGTTAATTTTAACTCCAATAAAAAAAATTTTCCTCATTCGTAATGAAATGGGTAGCTTTATCATTTCATAAGAAAAAAATTAGAGAAAATATATTAATTCATGAAAACTTGGCTTATTAGGCAAATCGGGCCATGTATAGTAGGCTGAGAAGTGCGTTCTGGCTACTAGGTACGACATATATATATATATATATATATATATATATATATATATATATATATATATATATATATATATATGGTTGTCCGGTCCTATATATAGAGCCAACAAAACAACACAAACAGTCCGGCTGGGACCACCCTCTAGTGGAAAAAGTAGCTGATGCCATGCTAAGCGTCGCAACATCAGACAAGGAGAAAGCCCGCCTCAGAGCAGTGCGTGCCCCCCATGCAGGAGACTTCCTCCTGGCAGTACCCATGTCTGCAATGGGCACGCGCCTAGATCCAGAATCCCTTCGTGTAGCAGTGGCCCTCCGCCTTGGTGCCCCAATTCACACTGAATACAAGTGTATTTGCAACAGGGTGGAAGCAGACCAATATGGACTGCATGGGTTGCATTGCGGAAGCACAAAGGGCTGGCATGCAAGACACAACGAGGTCAATGACATCATCAAGAGAAGCCTCGTCTCAGCTGGGTGCCCAGCGGAGAGAGAACCTCGCATCCTAGGGGTCCAAAACCCGGATTTCCCAGCACTTCGCCCTGATGGCATCACCATATACTCATGGAAGGAGGGTAGACAGTTGGTGTGGGACTACACATGTGTATCCACCCTGGCTGACACCTATGTACACTTCGGAGCTGATCAAGCAGGTGGGGCGGCCAACCACAGGGAAACAGCAAAATCACTCAAGTACAGGCGACTGGAAGGTCAATACCTCTTTGTTCCCATAGCGTCTGAGACGCATGGCCCCTGGGGCAAGAGTGCCTTGGGATTTCTCAAGGAATTGGGGTCCAAGCTCATTGACGTCACCAGAGACCCAAGGGCTTCCAGTTTTTATTTCAGCGTCTCGGTGTGGCGATCCAGAGGGGAAATGCTTGCTGCGTCCTCGGTTCCTGTCCAGAAGCGGAGGAGCTTCAAGAGATCCATAACCTTTAGGCATTTGTCTTGTATGTTTTGTAACCTTTAAATACACAATAAAGTATGTATGTATGTATGTATGTATATATATATATATATATATATATATATATATATATATATATATATATATATATATATATATATATATATATATATATATATATATATATATATATATATATATATATATATATATATATATATATATATATATATATATATATATATATATATATATATATATAAAAGTTTGCTGATGATACTAAGATAATAGGAAGGATAAGAAACTTAGATGATTGTCATGCCCTTCAAGATGACCTGGACAAAATAAGTATATGGAGCACCACTTGGCAAATGGAATTTAATGTTAATAAATGCCATGTTATGGAATGTGGAATAGGAGAACATAGACCCCACACAACCTATATATTATGTGAGAAATCTTTAAAGAATTCTGATACAGAAAGAGATCTAGGGGTGGTTCTAGATAGAAAACTATCACCTGAGGACCACACCACATAAAGAACGTTGTGCGAGGAGCCTATGCCACGTTTTCTAATTTCAGAATTGCTTTTAAATACATGGATGGCAATATACTAAAGAAATTGTTCATGACTTTTATTAGGCCAAAGCTAGAATATGCAGCGGTTGTGTGGTGCCCATATCTTAAGAAGCACATCAACAAACTGGAAAAGGTGCAGACATGCTACTAAATGGCTCCCAGAACTGAAGGGCAAAAGCTACGAGGAGAGGTTAGAGGCATTAAATATGCCAAAACTAGAAGACAGAAAAAGAGGTGATATGATCACTACATACAAAATAGTAACAGGAATTGATAAAATCGACAGGGAAGATTTCCCGAGACCTGGAACTTCAAGAACAAGAGGTCATAGATTTAAACTAGCTAAACACAGATGCCGAAGAAATATAAGAAAATTCACTTTCGCAAACAGAGTGGTAGACGGTTGGAACAAGTTAGGTGAGAAGGTGGTGGAGGCCAAGACTGTCAGTAGTTTCAAAGCGTTATATGACTAAGAGTGGTGGAAAAACGGGACACCTCGAGTGTAGCTCTCATGCTGTAACTACACTTAGGTAATTACATACACACAGAGCAAACAGCAGTACTGTACTTTATATATTCACCCTGCAGACCCATCACGAGGGCAACAACCTTCATGTCACCATGTTTTCACTGATGTTCATCATCGTTTATGCATCTCAAAAGTCATTTCACGTTGTCATAAGCTTCCTTCATATGGGCTGCATAAGCCAATGGAATTGATGGCAAAACACTCCCATTATGCAGCAAAACAGCTTTAAGACACATCTTGAATGAAAACTAGAGCTAATGAACAATTTTAAACATTGTTTCTGCTCTGATTGATCCAGATTAGTCAAGATCGACCTCATTTCTTTCAGAAGCATTTTGACTGCAGACCACTATAATCAATAGTGGTAATTTTAGACTTCACAGTATCAAATGTTGTTTGAATTATGGGGTAATAATTATAAAACACATATTTTCCAATTTATTATAATACTCTAATACAGTAAAAAGATTAGCAGTGATGCAGTGTTCTAAATAGTAAAACACGATCTTTCATGGCTTAAGTGCCTGTGAAAAATATATTTTGGAATGCTGTTCATATACTACACAGCTTACAAGCACCTGTAATGTAATGCAGCATTATCATCATTCACACTCTAATAATTATTATACATTATTCAAGATTATACTGCTATGAACAAAGTTCAAATAAAACTCCTGTGTAATTCTTAATAATGAACACAATAATTTTTTTATATTATATAAACACAATCCATTTTGAAAGCTAATGAGATCAGACTAAAATTATATCCATAAGCTTGAATTTTCTCACATATTTCATCACTCATGAACCAGATTTACGTCAGGCTAACCCACTACCTCGTGGAGGTCATGTAGCCCAACTGATAAAACCAAGAAGCAGCCACTCAGGCTGTTAATTACCCATCACTACAAGGGCTGAACTACATCCAACAGATCAGCCCCAATACAAACTTGTTATGTATCAGAGATCATGCAGCACATCAATTACCAGACATGCATCTTCTCATCTCGATCTTCATACAAAGGAATGCGTTGCCAAACAGACCAACCCGCATAGAGCCTGTGATAAAAATGCACTAAATTATAGCGACTGCAATACACATAGAAATCACAATAGCGTGATATATCAAATGAACAAATCCACAACAACCGTGATGAGGGTTCGAACTTACGCCCAGTACAATGTACATTTGCTTATGATTATAGCCACTGCTTATATACTGCATGCAAATACAGTGCTGCTGTACTTCATAATACCAGCAGAAGCTCTACCTAAATAGTGTCTCAATAAGTATATGACTTCCAGACCTGTTTTCTAAGCCTCGTGCTATCATGGGACCTCTTTGAGTCATATGCAACAAAAAATTACATATGCTTATGATATAGCATCATCACTGCTAGTAAAGTTTAGTTGTTTTACTGTTGAATAGGCAGGTATCTCGTCCATAACAAGATGAATGATTTTTATTATTCTTATTATTATTATTATTAAGTAACGGTAATGTTTTCTCAGACATAATAACATAGGATAAAACCCACACTTATGTATTTGTAAAATTTATGTAAAGAATTACACCGTCTTTCACACTTTCCTGAGTGCTTGGCAAGGTCTGCGTGTGTGGTTAGAATGACACTTACATCTCAATGACTAATCAGACTGCTACTCTGGATCCAATCCTCATATCCTTCTTGACCTGAATGAGCCACCTCTATTCCCGACTGCCGATACACCTGGGGTAATGTCTTCTATGGAATTATGGTTACAGAATTATAGAAAGGACACCTGACCATAATTCTATAGAAGACATGACTGCAGGTGCATCAGTAGTAGAGGTGACATGGTCAGGAGGTCCAGAAGGATAAGAGGACTGGATCTAGGGGTAGCAGCCTCATTAGTTGTTGAGATGTAAATCTCATCCTAAGCACATACTCAAAACTTGACAAAGCACTCAGAAGATTGCAAAAGACTTGGTGTAATTCTTTACATAAATTTTACAAATTCATAAGTGTGGGTTTTTGTCCTATTACTGTATTATTATTATTATATCTTTTAAAAGAAGCCAACCATCAGCCATGCTCTCCACCCCTTACTAACCACTGTACTTAACTCATATAGAGCTTCCAAAGATGCCTGCAACCCAGCCTCCTCTCCAAGGTATACAATGTATATAAAATAAACAACTGCAGCCCACAACTCCTTAACCTAACCTACTACCCCTAACTATATCAATTTCTGGTCTTCTATACCATTCCACTTATTTTTATTCATGTATTTTATTCATAATTACTTATCCTTCTTTTCCTCCTCATTATACCAAATGAATTTCTTAGTCAATGTTAACACTATGAAAAAGGGAACTTATGTGACAACAACAACAACTATGTACCGTAGGTAGAATAAATAGAGACCAGATAGAAAACCAAGCCCAAACTGGTTTCCCAAGACGACTGCCAACTCGGCATTATTCTTCATAAATTTATCATACATATTGTAGCAGATGCCAAATAACACAACTCAGGCCTACAGCTTAATTCTATTTTCTGCTGTCTGAATTATAATTTTTCTCCAGACAATCTCATTGTATATTAATAAACGATAACCATGCAAAATCTGTTTAAACACAAATAGCTTGACAAAGCTTACCTACTCTGCCGCAGTAGCAGCAGCAGCTGATTCTAAAATCTTTTTCTTCCATGCCTCAAAGTCTGCTTCCTTATCAACTTCCCCATCCTCATCTTCATTGCTCTCCTCTCTACTACGTTTTTTTGGAGAACAATCGCGGAGGTTCTCTTCCACCATGTCCATAAGGGTCCTGGTGCGCTTGGTGCCACCCTTCACTGTCTGGGAGTAAGAAATGCATTAATCTCATAGCAATCAATAACTTTATTAAAAATGGTTATTCATTTATAATCAATCCAAGTACATTGTTTATACAAGTAATAATGAAAATCTAACACTGATCAATATAATTACTGTATACATAACTGTATATGTGCTGTATTTAGGCTCATTTCTCTATAAACATATTTTCATAAACTATCTTCTGCTATTAAAGGTTCGAGTGTACATATTCACATAGAATTTACACGTGTAGAGAAAAAGACTATACTGTAGTTTCAAGATAATTAAAAAAAAAAAGGCATAACAGAAAAAAAAACAGGTGTTGAGATGGCTCCCCACTGCTGGGTCACATCAGTTGCAGATGTCCTGTTTGGCCTACCAGAGATCAGAGTCAGAACCTGACCTCTTCACAGAGGTGCAAAGAGCAAGGGAGTATTAAAATACTCCTCACCAGGAAAGCACCCAGAAAGTCAGCAAAGCTTTACAAACAACTGCAAGGTTCAAAGAAAAGAAAGAATGGAAACAGCCAAACAACTCTGCAAACAATTCGCTCCAAACAAGTACTGCACTTCACTCAAAATTACCTCGAAATTAATATCAAGGGCAGCCCAGTACCCCAGCCCACAGCTAGCTCCAAGGTCAGTTGAGAGCTGATGCACAATAAACCAATGATCTGGTGTAGAGGGAGGGACTCACGCAGCCACCAGGGCTCTACCAGAAAGAAGCATTTCATTACATTCAATGCTGGTTTTCTGGGAGGAATTCCTTGGTGGCTCCCTAAAACAAACTCACCACAGAGAAACAGGAAAACAAGGGACTTTACTGGGAGGAAAGACAGCAGGAACTAGGTGAAAGAAGAGACCGTGGGCCAGGAAACCCAATCCAGCGCCACACGACACTAACTGAGACCAGGAACTGAAACCAAATACCAGGCCCCCAAAACCCTCTAAGACCTCCAAAACCTCCGAGCTCAAGTATCAGCCTACAGGTTGGAGAAAACAGCAACCAATACCGTGTACTTATGAAAAACACAGGCCCAATGGTAAATCGTAGACTGACTAACTTTGGTGACACTGCAGACAACCTTTAAAATATTAGCCTTGGAGTAGAGGACCAAGAAAACAGAGCCAATCAACAAGGTGCCCACTGACATAGAACTAATGGCAAAAAAGAAGCAAAGCAGCGAAACACCACCAACACACAACAAATGATTCACTCCCAGCTAGACCAACCAAGCATCAAACATCAAAGACTCCTCTGGAAGCCACCCAACTCAATCTTTGCTCAAAAAAGAGGTTTCTTCATTCAATCCTGGTGGGAAATCTTGCCCACCAGGATTGAAGGAACGGAACCTCACCTGCAGAGAGGAGCATGAAGCTCACCAACTCTGCAGCAGGAGGCGAGAGCTAACAAAAACACCACTTTGCGAAAAATATTCCTGACCAACAAGGCAACATTGAACCGAGGAAAGGAAAGAAACACCAATACAGTATCAAGAGACCAAGATGACTCAGGTGAAAGAATGCATAGGACAACTTGCAGAATGGCACCAAAGCTGTATTAATGCTGAATGCAAGCAACATGGTGCTCTGCCAATATCAAAGGATAAGATGTGACAGTACATGTATTAGGCATAAGATACCAATTCCAAAACAATCACAACAAAAATAATAGAACCACCAGCACTGACTTAAAAAAGATGAAAGGGAGACAGAAAGAAGCAAAATGAACACCAGGCAACTTCATACTGCTGCTGTGAAGAGACACACAGGTGGGACACCTGCTACCCATACAAATAGCAATAAACCTGTGCCTGAAACGCCAGACACAGAGCAGAGAATGTCAAACAAGTGAGCTATGTCAACAGACTGAGCTGCTGATAGTGAGGAGCTGTGGATAAATGCCCAGGTTCAGACACTGGGCCAGAAGAGCTGGAAACCAACTCCGGTCTGGAAAGCACTCATTGTAACATCTGAACCAGGGGAAAAGGGGTAAAGGAAATCCCACCTCGACCTGTCCACAGGAAAGGCATCCACCATGAGAACCTCACGATCACGGAATGGAGCCATATAGGAGAGAAGACAGCGGCTGCACGCCGATGTGAAGAAGTCAACCTTGGGGTGAGCAAATGTCTCACAAAGCCAATGAAGGAACACATCTTCAATAGTTCACTGTGTGGAAATGGGATGGGAGGTAACCCATTATTGAGAACATTGGACACACCCTGCAAGTGAACTGCATGCTGAACCAAACTCTGAGAATTCAGAAGCCTAGCTGCATAAAGAGTCCAGCTCCAAACCGGAATAACCGAAGTGAACTCCTACAGTTCAAGGAATGAACCACCAGGAAGCAATCAGAATGGATCCGGAGAAAGCCTGGAGGAAGCCAAATCCATTGTAGGACTTGACACACAGCTGTGAACTCATGCACTGTGTCATGCGCCCTCTGGAATGGCCCCGACCATTGACCCTGGGAGGCTTGATGAGCACTGGTCACAAAGCCCCAACCCAGAGTCAAGGCATCCATGAACAGCTCAAGTGACAAGGGAGGATGGTGCCATGGAACTGAACCCCAAAGAGCCCAAAGAGGAAGCTGTCAGAGCAAGAGTCAATCAAGAGCTGGTAGAGCCCAAACCCAATGATCCCAGTAGCAGCAAAATAGATGGAACCAGAGAAACTAGCACAGTGCCCTGAGTCAAAGCCTGCCAAGGAAAATGCCATGCAGGCAAAGTTCAGGCTCTCCCACAACCAGCCACAACCAGTCAACTAACCGGCGAGTCACACAGAGCTGATCCAACACCAGAGGTCGACCATGCTTTAGGCACAGCAGAGCCACAGGAGGCAGGGAGAGATAAAAAAGCATGTGCAAAGCCCAGATGAAAAAACAACTGACAAATAGAGCAAAAGGTAGTAGCAGCAGCTGAGACCTGAGCAACTGCCTCCTTAGGAAAGAGGGACAAAAAAAAAAAAAGCGAGGAAGACAAAAGAGTTATGAACCAGGCTGAATCTAAAGACTGAACCTCCACAGCTGGGGCAGAAGCAAGCAAATCCATGCCCTCACAGAGCTTGTCTATAAAATGCTCCATGGCAGTCCGAAAATGCATGACTGTCGCCAAGTGGGCACAAGTGGTTATCCACAGTAAGGGCTCCAGAAAGCATAGGCAGCTGCACATGGAGCTACCACTTGCCCACATCCTAGGGAAGCACCAGAGCAAACAGGCAGTCAACAAGAAGAGAATAAAGAGAGTTGTTCAAGAACACATGAAAGACAAAACTCACTTCTCACTAACCAAGTTTTTGACAGAACCTATGCCAAGCCCTCGAGGAAAAGAGAGGGATGTTAACCAACCAGGATGATATGCACATACATTGCAGGGTTCCAAGTCTTATGTGTCATTGACCCAACGGGCAGTATGGTGCAGGAAGAGAAAATGATTGTCGGTTAGTAGAAGAACTGAAAAGCATTCTTCAAATTCAAACATAGCGAGTGCAGACTCAATGGGTCGATCCATAGCAAGCTGCACCGTAGATTCACAGAGAAATGACCAGGACCTGAAGGTAACTAGCCAAGAAGGACACACAGGCACTTGAGATGCTCGCTGACAGAACAAACACCAAACACAACCTACAACAACTCGGCTATGATGGGTGTCCTTGGCATGCCATATAAACAAGTGTGCATGTACCTTAGCAAACCCCACACAACTAATCAGGATGCCCCCAGCTGAAGAGTCAACAATTCGTGCACCCCAAAGTAAAAAGCTCCTCACCCTCACCAACCAATACCTTATGTTGGTGAATCTCTTGAGCTATTTTAGTCATCGCGTCCACCAGCTGTTGGTAAACTGTCCTCTTGCTGCAACTCGATTCAAACAAACGGCGTTTATCCACCGAGATTTTCATCACTCTGAAAATCAATTACATACACCTTAACAATAATTATTAATATAAATAATATAGTTTAACATTTAATGTGTGCTTATTTAAAACAAATTAATCATAGTGCCTTGTGGAAAAACACAGAACTGAATAGGAAAACTTAAAGGCGGCACTTAATTGGTAGATATTTGGCAAACCTTTTTTCATTTCAAAATTCCTTGTTTAAGCCTATGATATCTACTTCACATGCAGAGTTATTAATTAATTGTGCCACTATTTTTAATTTATTAAAGGTATGAAGAAGTTCATACCATTCATTGGACACGGGGGAGATACCAGATGCACTTAAAGTAGCAGACATAGCCCCTCTACACAAGGGAGGGAGCAAAGCATTGGCAAAGAATTATAGACCAGTTGCACTAACATCGCACATAATAAAAGTATTTGAGAGAGTGATTAGGAGTCAGGTCACCAATTTCATGGAGACCAATGACCTTCACAACCCAGGCCAACATGGATTTCGAGCAGGAAGATCGTGCCTCTCACAGCTACTTGAGCACTACAATAAAGTCACTGAGGCATTAGAAGAAAAACAGAATGCTGATGTGATATACACGGACTTTGCAAAGGCTTTCGATAAATGTGACCATGGCGTGATAGCACATAAAATGAAGTCAATGGGAATAACCGGTAAAGTAGGACGCTGGATACTCGGTTTTCTGTCAAACAGGACTCAGCGAGTAACAGTCAACCATATAAAATCTAGTCCAAGTGCAGTTAAAAGCTCTGTACCTCAGGGTACAGTCCTTGCACTGCTACTTTTCCTTATTCTCATATCAGATATAGACAAAAATACAAGTCACAGCTTTGTATCATCCTTAGCTGTTGACACAAAAATCAGTATGAAAATTACCTCGGCTGAAGACATTGAAAAACTTCAATCTGATATTAATAAAGTTTTCGACTGGGCATCAGAAAATAACATGATGTTTAACAGTTATAAATTCCAGGTACTCAGGTACGGTAAAAATGAGGACCTTAAACATAATACGTGTACAGGGTACAAAACACAATCAAATGTGCCCATAGTAGGAAAACAGCATGTAAAAGATTTGGGAATAATGATGTTTGACGACCTAACGTTTAGGGAGCATAACCAAGCAAATATTGCGACAGCCAGAAAAATAATAAGATGGATTACGAAAACTTTCAAATCCAGGGATCCCATCACAATGGTTGTACTCTTCAAGTCACTTGTGTTGTCCCGTCTTGAGTACTGCTCAGTACTCACTTCCCCCTTCAGAGCAGGAGAGATTGCTGAAATAGAGGGAATACAGAGAACATATACGGCACGCATAGACGCGATAAAGCACCTAAATTATTGGGATCGTCTCAAAGCCCTCCAAATGTACTCACTAGAAAGAAGACGAGAGAGATATCAAATAATATACACCTGGAAGATACTGGAGGGCAAAGTACCAAATCTACACAGTAAAATAACAACGTACTGGAGTGAACGATATGGAAGAAAATGCAGAATAGAACCAGTGAAGAGCAGGGGTGCCATAGGCACAATCAGAGAACACTGTATAAACATCAGAGGTCCACGGTTGTTCAACACCCTCCCAGCGAGCATAAGAAATATTGCCGGAACAACCGTGGACATCTTCAAGAGGAAACTAGATTTATTCCTCCAAGGAGTGCCGGACCAACCGGGCTGTGGTGGGTATGTGGGCCTGCGGGCCGCTCCAAGCAACAGCCTAGTGGACCAAACTCTCACAAGTCAAGCCTGGCCTTGGGCTGGGCTTGGGGAGTAGAAGAACTCCCAGAACCCCATCAACCAGGTATCAACCAGTTCAATAACTTATTTTTTGCTTCCTGCGTATGATAGCATATTCTGAATATAAGCTAAGAAATAACAAAAATTAAACATAAAATAGTGATAGTACGAGAAAACTCACTTGCAGGCAGCATTGACAGCGGCAGTCTGGTACACGGGAAGGCTCACATCCACATCCTTTCTTCTCATGCCAATACTGGATTCATATCTGTCGAAAATTAAGACAAAAGTTCCATTATTAAAAGCATTCTTCAGTTCTTTCTGCAGCATCTTCCATAATTCACAGCACTCACTGAAAGGCATTCAGTGCACATGGTTACAAACAACATTATTACAATTTCATCCCTAAATTAAAGAAAAACAGTGTTGAATGTAATGAAGTGCCATTATCTGGGGTGAGCCCCGGAGTCCCCCTGGAGTTATTAGGCTAATATGCAATTTATTAGACCAGGATATTAGTCATTGGAGTTCAGCTTACCAGGGACCACGAGCCAGAACCTGGCCCCCTCAGAGAGGCACAAGGAGCAATGGCCCTGGAAAACCCTCCCCTGTGGTTGGGGGTTTTCCTTATCTGCTATCGACTGGGGTTAGGCACCCCAGACATAACAAAACAGACCCCACATGGTAAGAAAATTGCAACCGAAAACCAAACAGAGGCAAAACTCCCTTCAATCACAAGGAAATAAGCAAACAAGCAAATGTTATACCTCACTACTGCGCCGCTGTCCCTCCCACCCAGAGGGGAAGGGGGCGACCCAGCCATACCAGTTTGGAGGCTAAGTATTAAAACAACATGAAAACTGCCGATCGGAGGGGGGAAGGGTGCCAGGGAGCCTCAGGGGTTTATCCAGAAAATGGCATTTCATTACATTCAACACTGGTTTTCTGTGGGGAGCCCCTTCTGCTACCTGGAACTACATAACTAAAGACAAGGAAGAGAGGGACTTACCTGGGAGGTGGCTGCCACAAGCTCCACAACTTGAAGCTGAGACAACTGGCTGCAATCTAAAGCCACACACGAACACCCAAGACCAGGAATGTTAATCAAATAACGGGCGGCCAGGCCCCTGTTCGACCTCCAAAATCCCTGGGTCCAAATATCAGCCCAAGACATGTTGCCAAAGATGGCAGCCAAAGCAGCAAACTTCATAACGTAATGGGCACGAGGATAGACCACAGGCTGGCTAGACTTAATAACCCTGCGGACAACCTGGGAGACCCAAGTCCTGGAACAGGGAACGAAGGAAACCGGATGAACCCAAAGTGCATCCCGGCTACAGAAACCAAGGTGCACAGGTAACAGCGAAGAGCCGCAACCAGACACAACACATAATGCGCCCTTGGCCTGACCAATCAAGAATTAATGACCCAAGGACCTCTCCGGAAAGCAGCCATCTCGTTCTTTGCCAGAAAAAAAGACGAAGGCAACCAAACAACCCAAATACCAGGACCGAAGGAGCAGAAACACCTGCGCCGGAGGGGAACATGAAGCTCACCGACCTGATCCCCAGAGGCCAATGCCAACCAAAATCGAGCCTTGGAAAACAATCTTGAACAGAAGGGGCCAACACGAACTGAGGAGAAGAGAGATAGGAGAGCACCCTGTCCAAGGACCAGGACAGCTCAGGCAGCACCTGAGCAGGCTGGAGGTGAAACAAAGCACGAGAAAGCTCATGGAATGTGACAAAAGTGACATCCACCCCGAACGCAAGCTGCAGCGGTTCCACCAACACCGCAGGATATGAGGCGACAGTATTAGGCATTAAATGACAGGCCTGAAAACGCCAAGAAAGAAAGAAAGGACAAGACAGCCCGATCAGAAATAAAAGACAACCTATGAAGAAAGAGAAAATGGCAAAAAGAGAGCCAGGAAACTTCATACTGTTGCCGAGACAAAACTAGCAGGTGGCACACCATCAACAAAGCCACCTGATCACCATACAAGTAGTGATATATCCGTATCAAAAAGACCAGACACAAAGAGCAGAGGAGTAGACCAAACCAGCCATGTACCAGACTGGTCATATACCCATATAGCCGCGGAAAACGCCCCAGGTTCAGACACTGAGCAAGCACCGCCTGAAACCAAGGCTGGGCCGGCTACCGAGGAGCCACCATTGCTCTCTGTGCCTCTCTGAAGGGGGCCAGGTTCTGTCTTGTGGTTCCCAGTAGGCTGAACTCCTATGACAAATGCCCTGGTCTAATGAATTGCATATCAGCCCGATAGCTCCAGGGAGCCAAAGGAGCTCCCCACAGAAAATAGGGTTTGGGCCTATAGCAAAAAAGCATCTTTCTGCATAGATCACTCAGTTGCTATTTCAGGTAAGATTCTGCCGTTCGGAAAGAGCTGTGACGTGAAGTCAGGTAGGGGTGACAATTGTTAGAGTGTTACATGGCGGTGTCTGTGATGATTCTGCAGGGATTGCTTGAAAAAAGGTCCCCACACATTATCAATACCAGAATGTCACTCTACCTGAATGCTTCTTACAGTTTTAACTAACACAGTTGAATATTATCTTAGGGAGTAACAGAGCAACAGCCTGTTGGACCAAGCTCTCACAAGTCAAGCCTGGTGAGGGCCGGGCTTGGGGAGTAGAAGAACTCCCAGAACCCCCATCAAGCAGTAAGATAGCTCAGAAATTGTTTCAGATCAACAAAGGAAAAAAGAATAAAGGGTATATTAAAGTTATTATTTGTTGTAATATGTACAGTACTGTATTATACAGCCAAATGGAACCTACTGTTTGAGAATATGGCATGCCAGGTCTGTGGCAGCAGTGGCAGAGTGCGTGATACAAAGGTCAGTAACACTGACTCTTGGTGACACGTTAAGTAAGCGGCTCACGGTTTGGCTCATTCCCACATACTGTGGACGCTTCAGCCCCGACAGCTTCATGGCCAAGTTCTGCAACATAATTATTGCCAGTGATAAAAAATTCATGTACCTGGGTGTGCACATGCATAACTGTATTTGGGTATGTACATGCATACCTGAATTTGGGCATGCACCTTAATGTGGGTGTACACAAATACATTTCATTGTGAGTGTACTCATGTACACTTTATTATGTGTACTCATACACATCTTATTGTGAGTATATTCATACACACCTTACTGCGAGTGTACTCATACACACCTTATTGCGAGTGTACTCATACACACCTTATTGTGAGTGTACTCATACACACCTTATTGTGAGTATATTCATACACACCTTATTGCGAGTGTACTCATACACACCTTATTGTGAGTGTACTCATACACACCTTATTGTGAGTATATTCATACACACCTTATTGTGAGTGTACTCATACACACCTTATTGCGAGTGTATTCATACACACCTTATTGCGAGTGTATTCATACACACCTTATTGTGAGTGTACTCATACACACCTTATTGTGAGTGTACTCATACACACCTTATTGTGAGTGTACTCATACAACACCTTATTGCGAGTATATTCATACACACCTTATTGCGAGTATATTCATACACACCTTATTGCGAGTATATTCATACACACCTTATTGTGAGTATATTCACACACATACCTTATTTAACTCATGCTTAATGTGGGTGTACTCATACACACTTTATCTTTCTTGGTGCCTTCCCTGGTTGATGGCAAGATGACATACTTTAAATGTAAAATAAAAAATGTTCATGGGCCATTGCTCCCTTCACCTCTCTGAGGGAGCCAGGTTCTGGCTCGTGGTCCCTGGTAGGCTTACAAAGAACTCTGCGACGGATGACAGTCAAGTAGTATGGCACTTGATCAGTAAGAAAGCTTTAGGGAGTCTATGGGGGTCCCCCACAGAAAAACGCATATGATACTTGATGGCATTTGTTCAGTGATGCCAGCGGACAAGTTCTACTTATTAGTGGAAATATTAGTGGTCACCTTACCCAAAACTGCAATATCCCACAAAAACAAAACAAAAAGAAAGTTGATAGTGAACATTCACTGATTTGTTCCTCATACTGTCCACTCTAAAATTAAAAATGTAATGAGGAGTAACGTATCAAACACCTCCAATGAGGAGCAACAAAAGTACAAGGGAAACAGATTAAATAAAGACTGTATGGCAATCTTAAGACAACAACAATGCTCTAGGACTTTTTCACTTAAGAGACCAGAATAATAAGGCTTTAGAGATGAAGCTAATACAAAATTGCATTCCTAGCCAGTACTGTATATGCTTTATGTGGGGGCATTGAGGTCAGAGCAAGCTGCCACAAGCTATGCTCTCTATGTGAATGGTGAAAATGTTGAGGATACGAGCAAGTTATATGACATACCTTGTCAAGCGAGGCACCCGTGAGTGAGGCAGCCATCTCCAGACATATAACAGTCTTGCCAGACATACTCAGGGACAACCTTGATCCTCCTTGCACTGCCAAAAGGCGAATCAACTCTTCTGCTTTCCTGCATGGACAATGTTGCGTTAGACAGTGGACGCTTACTGTGCAGTACACCCAATGCTGTACTCAAAGTCAGTATCAACTAAAACCTTCAAAATTTGTGACTTTTTTTCATATTACTAAACTCTTGTTTTTATGACACAACCACTTTGAGTAAGATACAGTGTGCTAGTATAGATATGATTGGTGAAGGTTTTCACATTGGCTCATTCAGTTGTGTTGACTACCCACGAATGTGACTGTGTCCTGGGTTATTTATCGTTGAAAGCTTAATACAAAATTTATACTTTTTTAAATACTCATACACATTATGCTTGATACCTGCTTGATGGGGTTCTGGGAGTTCTTCTACTCCCCAAGCCTGGCCTGAGGCCAGGCTTGACTTGTGAGTTTGGTCCACTAGGCTGTTGCTTGGAGCAGCCCGCAGGCCCACATACCCACCACAGCCCGGTTGGTTCGGCACGTTTTTTAGAAAACAGTCTAGTTTTCTCTTGAAGATGTCCCCGGTTGTTCCGGCAAAATTTCTTATAGTCGCTGGGAGGACGTTGAGCAACCACGGACTTCTGATGTTTATACATTGTTCTCTGATTGTGCCTATGGCACCTCTGCTCTTCACTGGTTCTATTCTGCATTTTCTTCCATATCGTTCACTCCAGTATGTTATTATTTTACTGTGTAGATTTGGGACCTGACCCTCCAGTATTTTCCATGTGTACAGTATATTACTTGGTATCTCTCTCATCTCCTTTCTATTAAGTACATTTGGAGAGCTCTGAGACGATTCCAATAATTTAGGTGCTTTATTGCGTCTATGCGTGCCGTATATGTTCTCTGTATTCCCTCTATTTCCGCAATCTCTCCTACTCTGAAGGGGAAAATAAGTACTGAGCAGTATTCAAGACGGGACAACACAAGTGATTTGAAGAGTACAACCATTTTGATGGGATTCCTGGATCTGAAAGTTCTCGTAATCCATCCTATCATTTATCTGGCTGTCGCAATATTTGCTTGGTCTTGCTTGCAATCTCCCTAAACATTAGGTCGTCGGACATCATTATTCCCAAATCCTTGACATGCTGTTTTCCTACTATGGGTAGATTCGATTGTGTTTTGTACCCTGTATTATATTTCAGATCCTCATTTTTGCCGTACCTGAGTACTTAGAATTTATCACTGTTAAGCATCATGTTATTTTATGCTGCCCAATCAAAACTTTGTTGATATCTGCTTGTAGTTTTTCAATGTCTTCTGCAGAGGTAATTTTCATACTGATTTTTGTGTCATCTGCAAAGGATGACACGAAGCTGTGACTTGTATTTTTGTCTATATCTGATATGAGAATAAGGAAAAGTAGTGGTGCAAGGATTGTACCTTGAGGTACAGAGCTTTTAACTGCACTTGGGCTAGATTTCATTTGATTGACCGTTACTCTTTGTGTTCTGTTCAACAGGAAATTGAGTATCCAATGTCCTACTTTACCAGTTATTCCCACCGACCTCATTTTGTGTGCAATCACTCCATGATCACATTTGTCGAATGCCTTTGCAAAGTCTGTGTGTATACAACATCTGCATTTTGCGTTTCTTCTAGAGCTTCTGTGATTTTGTCATAGTGGTTGAGTAACTCACTACAGCATAACTGTAATATACAATACTGTATACTGTACATACATGGCAAAAAATAATTATTACTGGAATAATCACAATGATTTGCAGGCTTCCACAGCATAACATATATTCAGAGCTAAATGATAGAAATTATTCTATATAGAAACTTTACTGGCAACCCTTGGCAAGTGTGCCTTGCTTTCAGAGTTGTGCCTATGCATGGTACATATCATGCAGCTGGATTAGGACTTGGCCCTCTCTGTCTCAATCTCCACCATATGGAACAAGCAAAAATGGGCCGAGTACTCTCGACCCCTAATATGCAACCTGATGATTACTCACACACACACTTTGACCCTGGGGTGCAGCCTGGTGATAACACACACACTCTGACCGTGGCATGCAGCCTGGTGATAACACACACACACATTTTAGATCCAACTGCAAGCTACAGATTTTAAGGAAGTGTCATGAATGGGACGATCAGGCAGAAAACAGCCCACAAATGTCAGAAAATATAAAAGATCAGCAGGTACACTGAAAAAGCCCCCATGGGCAGTAATGAAGATAAGAGAAGTGGATTTAGAAGTGTTTACAGTAAGACAACCACCCTAAAAAATTATCACAATGTAATATTGTAGTACCGTAAGAGTCGACATGTATTTAAGTACAGTACAGTATCTCCATACTAAACTAACAGAAGCATCAGGCTCTATCATTTGCATCCATTATTATAGGTAATAAATGTGGAAGACTTCTGATTATTTGAGCTACTATAATTAGAACTAGGCCCTCTTCATTCTATTCAGATTTGTGTTTCTGGAGAATTTACTGTTCTCTATAGGTTTTTTTATTCAAATAATTATTTGTTACTGCAAACAGAACACACCTATTTATACATATCTGATGCCAAAATTACATTGAAAATTGTCATCTGTAATATAATAAATTTAACTTTAATTTTTGTTATATTAATATAACAGATTAGCAGTGGTACTTCTCCTCTAAAAAATTTGGTATCTGTTCCAATGAAACAAGGGAAAATAATCAGATCACCATTTTCTTGTTGCATCCACATTTGAATAATCGATAATCCACCATTAAAAAGAAATCGCCTGTGCGAAAGTGATGATCCCTTGGGAAAGCAACCTCTTTCAGAGAAACATGAAAACCTCAAAAAATGAATGAAATCATATACACTGGAAAAACAGTGTATATGTCAGATGCTTCATGTCAGTTTTTCCGTTATTTATATTGATAAAGTTTTACAACTACAAAGTAATAGATCCAAATTTATTTTAGTTTAAATTGACCTATCGATAAAAAGTAGCTCACTTTCTTTTACACAAAAAAAAAAAAAAATGCAAACTCAGAGGGCGTGAAAATTAATATCACCTTAATTTGTAGTGATAAGTCACAAGCACAGGCTATAAAAATGTAGAAGCCACTTGCTGGAGAGATGCATTTGTATAACCCCTAAATGGTCCAACTATTTAAAATTATTACAATGAGGTTTTTAAATAGCTAACTACAAATAACAAATCGAATGGAAAAAAAAATAAGAGTATGACGACTGGAGATGTGTAAGGGTTAAGTGGGACACAGAAATGCTGGTGTGAGGGAAGGAGAGTGGCTCGCCTGAGTGTAAGGAGCAAATGAGCATCACCTGTATGTGAGGGGGGACAGGAGGCTCACCTGAGTGTGGACGGGGAAGAGAGCCCCAGCTTTCCAGCCAAAGTATGTAGCGTCCCAGCCTCCATCATCAATCCCACCAAGCTAGTCTCACAAATGTTATCTCCGACACACGCACAAGTCGCCTTCACCATAAAGATGTCAGTTTCACAAAAAGAATGTCGGTTTCACCGCAAGCATGTCAGCTTTTTCACAAGTATGTCAGCTTATTACGAGAATGTCAGTCTCACGAAGATATTAGTTTTTTTTCACACGGACAGCTTCCACGTCCCTCTGGATCAGTTTGTTTACAGGTGCAAGTGGTGGAACCTGTGGCGGGAAGGCGTTCCTGAGCGTCCATCCGCCTTCACCCTCACTCAACAGTTCTTTTAACATTAATCAATAAATTATAATTTATACCAAAAAAAAATCAGTACATGTATTTATAATATTACTTGGTCAGCGTATGCGTTTAAAATTGTTAGTCTTTATAAAGCCCTTAATTAGGCTGAGTTTTTAACCAAAGTAAATCTAAGCCTTGTTACGTTGTGGGAAATCCTTATACTCGCTCCATTATCTCATCATCTTAAATAGTTTGTCTTTTTAAACAGGATACGTCCAAGTACAGAGCCCTGTGAGATTCCTCTGGTAACATTTTTTTTTTTAGATATATAGAAGAGTTGTTACATTATTGTACAGGCACTAGTACGCGTAGCGTTTCGGAAAGGTCCCTGGAATACGATCCCCGCCGCGAAGAATCGTTTTTACAACAAAGTACACATTTTACTGTTGAGCTCGAACCCATTGTTGATGTGACGACTTATACTGAATTTTGTAACTAGCTCATCAAGATTGTAACTTGCTTAGCTAAATGAATTGTGGGGTTCAGTCCCTGAGCCCATTATGTGCCTCTGTAACCCTTTCCACTACCGTCCACAAGATGGGTATGGGGTGCATAATAAATGAACTAAACTTACTGTCGAGTTAAACAGCGGCTACAGTTAAGGATTTGCGCCCAGTAAATCCTCCCAGGCCAGGATACGAACCCATGACAAAGCGCTCGCGGAACGCCAGGAATGTCTTAGCTGGGAAGCTGGGATAATATATATAGCTGGCAACCCAGCAAAACCCAACTACCTTAAATCTGCTGGAGATAAGAAACAGCCAATGTTGAATTTTGACTACCATAGGATGGATACGATTAAAGGACTCTAAAGCCATGAGGGAACTGCGAAAGTCAACTACAACAACAAAGGAAGATTCACAGTGAGAAAGCAGTTGACTAAGAGCATAGAGGAGCCTCAGGAAGAGATAAATGATTGCGATGTTTCAAACTGAGGATGGTTTTCTCAAATTTGTAGTGCACATATGCGTGGGAGAAGGCAGGGTGGGCATCACCGCAAATAATGCAGTGAGCTTGGGAAGAAGAGCACGCCATCTTAAAATAAACCGTGTCTCCACACAAGGGGCATAGACACACCTTACTTGTGGACCTGAAGAGACCATGGCCAAATCTCCAGCACCTGTTGCAAAGGCGAGGAGAGGGCATGTACTCCGGAACTGAGCATCTGGCACCAGCAAAAATGACAGATGAAAGGGACATACTATCAAAAGTGACCTACGCAAATGCGAAGAGGCTGACAATCACGACCACAAGGGGGTCAAGTGAAGGTATATATCTGAAAGACAGAATGGCCTTGGGCCTCAAGGATATATTTAATATCCTCGTGGCAGTCTTTCAGTTACCTATCACCAGTCGCAACATGGTGCCGGAAAAGAACTGTGCCAATGCTGGCAATTAACAGGGCATTTTTAGATTCGAACAGGGGTTTCTCCAATGCAGGGCAATGAAGCCAAGCAGTCAGTCGCTTCATAAGAGGGGACTGCAATGACACGGGTACCAGTATGGGTGGGGTCAAAAGTGACAAAGGTATCCACCAAATTAATGAGGTGTTTATGGAAGAATAAATCATCAGGATGAGTAGGGTCAACATAACTGAGATCAAAATACTTAGTTCACGTAGCAGAACCAAACAAATCCTGGAATGTATTAGATCATGCATGCACATGTGCGGAAGCAACAGTGCCGAGCATCCCCAGTAAGAGAAGGGGTCAAAGGCGCAAGTGTTGCAATGATAGACTGAGCCATGTCAGGTGATGAGGTGGTCACCATTGGGGCTTGGGGCTTAACCCTGCCACAGAGGCGGGAGGGGAGCAGAAAGAATTATTTGGTTGAGTCAGAGAAGCAGCGTGGTTAGGGCCCAATGTAGCAGGGCCTACAGAGCCTGGCCTTCCATAGCAGTCTGACTCAGAAGCTTGGTCGCCTACCCCACGAGGCTGAGAAGTTAAAAAGAGGGTCAATATAAGGAAAAAAAAGAAGCGAACAGGTAACAATTTCATCCACGAATAAGCCCCCATACCCACCATGGAGCCACAGTTAGAGGATAAGACACCCAGCAAGACGGAGCCCCCAGGGGTGCATCGTGGGTATACACCCTACAATGGTCATCTTAAGAGCTGCCAGTCCGTCGAGATAGGGCTCAGCAACGAAGGCAAAGTTTGACAATAAAAGCATCCCCTCGCTCGATAATGTCAGGTACCACAGTTCTATGGACGAGTGTGCATGCCTCCTCAAACACCTGGCTTCAAAGCAGAAGACACTGGAAAGGATATTCAAGAATGGCAAAAAGTCAGCAGGAAGGGAACAACGAGAAAGATGTGGGGAGGAAAAATGAAACGTGGAAGAGGAAAAAGCAACCAATAAAATTAGTGAAGAGAGCAGCAGGATCATAAGGTTTCAAAAGGACAGAGAACAAGCAATCCCCTTGAGTATCACATTCCAACAGCCGCCCACCAAGCCCCCTCAAGGCGGCTACGGGCTGGAAAGGGTGTGTTTGTTACTAAGAAAGGATGAGATAGTGATAGGTCTTTCTAACTCTCCTCTTGTACTCATTGATCAACTCTCAACTCTATTATTTCACTTCTTGGATCCCCACATAATATTACCACTAAATTTGACTTGACTCCTGTATAACCACGATCAGGCAAACCTTCCAATCTTCAACTTGTTACATTCTACCACACTATAACAAGCTTCTCTCCACAAACACATTCAATTAAAACTACATTTAGATTATTCGCCATCTATCATGTTTATTATGTATAGCCTTATGAATAGCTCTTTCAATCTACTGCCAAATTATTTACTCCTGGATCACAATTATTATAATGTCACTTTTCAAGCTAATTTCCAATTGACCATTCAAATACCTTTAGTACCTTTCACCCATTCATTCTTCAAAGGGTGCTTGACTCTCAGTATTAATGAAACAACTTAACAGCTTTATTCCTTTATTCAAGGCAATAACTTTTTACAACTTGTGGTAACTACCAGAAAGAGGGCCTCACGTTAGCACCCTCTTCAGGTTGGATGGACTCTTACCATTACAGTATTAACATCCGTACTTAAAACAACATGCCTGTTACTGATATCACATACAGAGTTGAGTCTAAGTTTAAAACTTCAAACTCGGCATGAGGATTTATAAATAATTAGATGGGTTCCTCACCATTCCCAAAACTTATTAAATTTTTTTTTATAAACAAGGTCACAACTTTATTCAATGCTAATTTTATATTGCAAAGAACATCCATTGCACTTTACTTCCCTAACTTGTGTAAAAATGATCATGGTCAGTTATTTGTCTTCTAGACCATCACGAACAGTAACTGTGACTCCTAACTAAAATTCCGTAACTATATGGTATTGACCAACACTACCATATAGCATAATATCTACTGTAACGATCAGTGAAAAACTGAAAATCTACATTATGTACAATTTTAAATACATATCTAAGATAAATTTACTAAAGAAACTTGTCATTCAATGGAGACTCAAGTCTACTGAATTTATATTTCAAATTTCTTCCTCATACAAGCAAAATGTATGTAAATTAAATGCATAAGATGAATACAGGCCAGTGTGGAACAGATGAGCAGTCTCTGAGCAGGTCCTGGGGTACGTGCCAAAATGATTATCACTAGTCTAGCGGTAGCTAGGCCCCCAAACACAGTGGTTAGAAAGAAGAATACACTGTGACTGTTCTCCTGGTGCAGAACCTCTGCTATGAGCAATACAACGCAGTGGCCAGTAAGGCTATAGCCAGAGATTGATACTAACTGTGACAGGGTTAAGCAAGTCTGGGAAAAGTAACAAAGAAAAAATGCCACGAAGGAAAAACCCAACCAGTACCCAAGACTCAATTTGGCAGTGATCAGCAGCTCTACAACTAGAGTTCTATTTGGGCTATGAATACCATACATAAGGATTAAAGCCAGCATGGCTACTACCAACGATGGCCCTTTCATATCAGAGTGGACACGTCGGAATTCTGGAAAAATGATAGGTGGTGCTAAAGATGACAATATTCTGTAAGGAAGCTTAGTGTTGGATACCGAGTAGTAAGGTCGTATAAATGAGAAGATGCTGTAGCAGTAATCAGTCACAGAGCCTAGTTTTGGTAGTAGCATCTCTAGGTTTGAGTCAATTGACTCAATAGTCACAACTGAGTGGCCTTTGTGAGACATGGTTACCATTGCTTAAAGCATCCACTGATAAGTATAACAAATGCAACTATGATAATGCCCTTTCTTAGAAAAGGATAAATTCAGAACTCAAGAGAAATAAAATTAGACAAGTGTCATATATGTATCACAATTTATTTTGTCAAATTACCAGTTACAAAAACTCACTGCACCAATCAGCCAGACACTGATAACACTCAGATGCTTGATTTGAATTGGCTGCCACCAAGTCTTGCAACCACTCTAAAAACAACTCTCTATTCTTCTTGAGGACAAGAAACTGGCCAAGAACTACATAAGCTTTGTCAAAGCCTCTATTCTCTAGTCTCCTACCCAAAACTTCCCCAATACCGGCCAATTCTGTCACAGGTTTATCTCCCATAGGCTCGGCAACAAAAAGTGTGTGTTTCTGTGATGTTGTCGCCATTATTCTTGCAACTCTTCAAACCTCACTCAACATGATTCATTAATTGAATGGTTGCCATAGTTAAAACACATATGCACACACACATACACACAAACACTCAGCCCCCAAAAAATTAATAATAAAAAAAGGTAAAGTACTCTCTGCTGATCATATTTATAACAATGTCTATATGCCACTGCTGGTACAACTACACATTAAAACCCATCTCTCTCATGCACTTTTTATGAGCGTCTATAAGTTCTAGGCAATTTTCCGCACCCTTCTCTACAATACATGCATCTCTTACTCGTTTAGTCTCTGGGCAGGCACAACATGCCTTGCACTTTGGCTTCTTTTCCTCAGCCACTGTGTTAGTCTGACCTGCGGTGATGGCTCCTTCAGGCATGCTGGTGTTTACAGGCGACAATGGAAAACTGTCGGTTGCCAATGCCGTTATCAAGAGCTTCCGTATGGCTGCACACTTCTGGGATGACTGATACAGTTTACACACAATGTGCGTGTCTCAAAGTTTTGGGTATACAAACCAGCTCTACTAATGTAATACTTATTTTTTCTTCAGTTCATTTTCTTCCTGAATCTTCTTAAACCCTTCTTTAACCTGCTCAACAAAATTCTTCTTAAACTGACCCACTTGTTTACTGGCTCCAGTTTCTACAGCTTCTTTGCCACGCTGAAAGGCATAAGCAGTAAGCTGAGCAGCACGTCGGATCGGATAAGAATCTGCCAATTTATCAATTACCTCAGGATTGTTCAGGAATCGTTGCAGAAGATACCGCAGCACCATAGCACAAACAATGCCTGAAACGATGGGAAAATTTAAATGAAAACAGCCAGCCCAAACTCCACTAGTTTTAGTCAGCAAACACTATTACATTGTCCAGATGACAAAAGGATACTTTGTCTAGTCTATGTATACCTTTTATAATTCTTCAGCATGACTTACATTTTCAACTCTACATTTATCTGTAGAAGAACAATAACAATGACTGCATCTATTAAATTCTTAGGTGCCTTTTCTATACCCTAAAAGAATCTCAAAATATTGTGCACTACAAATGCTATTCTCATAGCATTACTTCCGCCAGACCACCTGGTGGTAGCCCCCTCCCACCAGACTACCAGGTGGTAGCCCCCTCCCGCCAGACCACCCGGTATGGTCTGGGACTCCCTCCCCTAATCCTACCGGGTAGGAGAGGGCTGCACGGACAACCGGCACAGCGGCGGTGAGTGGCGTTTGCTTGTTCTTTAGGTTGGAGGAGTTCTGCCTCTCTGTTTGGTCATCGGTTGCAATTTTTCTTACCATGCTGGGTTTGTCTTGTTATGCCTACCTATCTGGGTGCTAACCCCCGGTCGATGGCAGACATGGAATGCCCCTAAATTCAAGGGGGTTTCCACTGCTCCCTTTGCCTCTGAGGGGCCAGGTTCTAGCTCGTGGTCCCCCGGTAGGCTGAACTCCAATTGACTGATGCCCCAGACTAATATATCGCATATCAGTCCGATTGCTCCAGGGAGCCGGAGGGGCTCCTCACAGAAAACTAGAGAAATGTTTATCGGTAGAAATTAAAATAATTATGAAAGACTATATTCGCAGCAACTGCTGCCCTACAGAGTGGCTGGAGCTAGCATCTCTGAGAGCCTGTGTACTCAGCATCCATAAATTTAAATTCCTCAACTCTATCACGACCAATGTTGCATACAATTTTTTTTTATCCTAATTTTGTTTAACTTTCTGGTGATCAGGGAACACATTTCAACATCAGAAAGGAAACAATTTTTTGGGGGGAAATCATTTTTGTCTTGCACACCATGGGAGGGTTTCGTGTGTTGAAAACTGTGCAGTACGGGGGTTAACAAGCCTATACGAGATCATTATCAACTGTTATGGGTCAGTTTAGAGGTCAGTGCATTCTTTGAAATCACTGAATTTGCTAACGTTTCATGTTTCAGCTCGGTCTCAATTTGTTTTGTGGTACTTTTGGGTTGACCACTCTGTCGTCTGTGTCAAAAGCATCAACAGTGGGTTGAATATTGCTAGAAAGAGATCCCATGGTTTGTGCACTATCAATGGCTTCAATGGTGTTTGTATAGCTTGTTTCAACTGTACGTGTTGACAAACTTGACATTGCAAAATAGTTTCCTAAATTATGAATTTAGAAATTTCATCAGATCGCTTCTCCTCAAGTTTGCCTCTTTGGTATTTACTTAATTACTTGTATGAATTAATTCTTATTCCTCTAGGTTCTTTACCTTTGTACCTTTGCTAAAAAGGTAAAAAATTACATTAACCACAGGAGAACAGCCAACTTACCATGACACTCCACCTTTACAACATCTGTACTAGTGACACAAACTTTCCTATTGTTGAAAGCGATACAACAAATTTATTAATTTGAGTCATGCAATTATTGTTACATGCTTTGAAAGTAAATTTTTTTTAGGTCTACTTTCTGAGAAAGCATTTTATTATTTATTGCTAGCCTGCATGTTACTTTAATAATTTAATAATGTTACTTTTAATTTTAGTTATTTTGTATTGAATTATTGTACACCATATTATCAATATATTTTTTAAATCATTGACACTTAATTTGTAAGCAATGTTGTTGAAAGTCACTTTTTGGGACCCCTCCGGGATAAACGGCAAGGAAGCTTATGCTTCATTAGTTTCATAGCAGATCCACCCCCTGCTAATCTCCAACAGGTTTCTTGTAAACATCTAAGTTGTCCACAAATATTTTAGTTAAATGGAAAATATGTAATCTAACCCAAGGCTTGACAATCTGCAGATCACCAATAGTCCAAAAGGCCACAAGAATGAGCCCACAGTACAGCAAAATTATTATGTAGTATCTTTATCATGTTAACAAATTTAAAATTAGCATTATTATCAGCCACACAAGCAAACCCAGGTATTAAATATGCATTATATAACATCTACCACCCGGTGGTAGCAACACAAAAATTTGTAACTTATGGTGATATGCAATAGTGTTTAAGGTGATATACAACAGTACTAGTTAGTGAATGGGTCGCCTCCAGTATTGCATTATACCACATTCTGGCACCTGTGCTGTACTAAGTGGACAGCTTAGTGCTTGCTTGAGGCATAGTAGCATTAATAAAATTAAGTAGATAGGCTGGTAGTACCTGATTAATGGGGAACTTCACTTTTAGCCTTGTACTTGAGCAGCAGACGTTTCTTGAGAGCCAGCTGCTTTCTTAGGGCCTCAAGTTTACGCAGCTGTTCCTCCCGACTGTACTCTACGCCAGGAAGTTTACGCACCTGTTAAGATAAGCCATCATTAGGATAGGTGGGCACAAGGAGCAAAAGAAAGCCAAAGGCAAGGGGAGGGAGAGGGAGGAGGTAATGTGTTTGAATAAATAGAACCAGAACAAATTCTATACCATATACAAAGTATTATACATCATAAGTACAAACTCGTCTATCTTGCACGACAGTAATTAGAATTGCCTAATGCCATACCTCATGATCTTTAATGATTATAATCTCAAGTGTCATTGTATGTTTTCATAAATTAAAATTAGAAACATTGGAAGTTGACTTAATAAGCAGCCCTCACCTGTTCACGTGCAGTCTGGATCTTACGTTGAAGCTCAAGTACCTTTTGGCTAGACTCCTGTGACACACGGCTTACGTCTGTTTGCTCTTTCTCCAAACTGCAAATAAGAGAAACAACTTCAAACTGATTGATTTTCACACACTACTTTAACCAAGAGTAGTTTCTATGGCTTTAATATAATTCAAAAGTTATACAACATTTTGGTGGCAGCTTTGGCACTGGAGAATACAAATAATCACCAGTAACTGATTTGGTCATTATTTCATGTGTCTGACATCACAAAAGGTCACCGAGTCTCCAACATTAAATGGAAAATGTCAAGACTCTTACTTTCCAATTTGAAAGGCAAAATATTTTAGTAGAATGCTAATTATCCTCTTTAGCAGTCATGTAGAAAAGGAATGGGGCAAGTGTCTCCCCTTGCTGGACACCTTCTGCTGAGACAACTTCATGTTCCCCAAACAACAGTGTCGATTCCCTACTGTACCCTGAAGGGGAGTAGACAAGGAAAGCTTGTTCCAACTGCTTCCAGTACCACATCCCTTTTTACCTGGTTGAAAGCCTTTTTAAAGTTTAACTTAATTAATGCCTTATTTTCTGGGAGGTGATCAATATAGGCTAGTGCTGCATGAGCTGTTGCTTCACAGACATGGGGGACACCAAATCCTAGTTGATGGGGTCGAAGCATCGTTGCAACTTCCGTGCGGGGTCAGACCCCACCCTCCTCTTAAAGGGCACAAAGGGACGCTCCAAAGAAGGGTTTAATTGTATTTGGGATCAACCCAGAGCGGCAGTTGTTGACAAACTTTGTGAACTTTGGCAGTACAGTAGTGTCTCAGCAACTTTGCAGAGAACTGGGTTTGCCATCTCCTTGAGGTGCTGAGGCCTTACTCCAAGGTATCCTCCTGCTGAGCCTGGCAGAAATGACATGATGGCTTTGTATACCTCTGATGCTTGGAGGAATAGAGGTCCCAGGTCTGGGACATTTGTGTCCTGAGCAGTGGGTTCTCATGGTACTCTGGGAGGGTGCTCTCTGAGTCGGCAGTAGAGTATTTCTAGGTGCGATTGTGTCTTCACTGGTAAGTAATCTAATTACCCCTACTGTTTTGCGCCTCTTCAATTTTGGGGGTCACATGTGTTCCTAGTTTAAAATTGTCATTGGAACTCTTCTGTCTGCCATGGCAGTTTTTGCGTTGAGGAGGGATCGGGATCAAGTTGTCAGCTCCGAGGAAATTATTGCCCTAGTGACTGATGAGGCTAACGACTTGCCTCCTCTTGCAGGTATGCCTAAGCAAATACAGTACAGTACAGTATTGCCAAACAAAAGCAAATTATGCCATGTTTTGATGGTAGCTGGGCTGGGGCATTAAGATTTGCAGACTTCATTCACTCTCCTGAGGTCTGTATATTTCCCTGCTGCAAATGGCTATGCTGCTTTTGGAATGTGGGGAAGAGTTCCGGTGGTGGATGCTTTGATTGCCCCCCAGGAGGTATTCTGATGACAGGAGGTTTGCTGGGATTTGAGAGGCTGCTGGAGGGACCTGTGGGCCTTCTTTCTCTCTACAGATCCACAGATTATGTACCTCTCCTGCCTGCACTCTTGGGAATACAAATTTAAAACTGATGTCAGGGAATTCCAAAATGGATCTATCTTTTGGCACAATCTATGGCAAGATGTGGAAGTGCCTCAGAGATGGCTGGATACCAGAAATCAGATATATCACTAGGACTCAATATCAAGCCATAAAAAGAGGATTAAGAATGAATGAATATTGTGATAATGTTTTGTGAATTTTGGGGAGACAATAAAAAATTAAAAAGTTCATGCAAAGGGTACCAAACATCATGGATGATTCCTATGGGCCCTATAATACACGTAATGTTTTCAAAGATCGTTTTAGTTCACGTTTTCATTCCTTTCCGTTTTCTTTCAAAGATCGCTTTAAAAGAATATTGTTGTACAATATTCAACACTGTACAACAGTGCTATATACAGGACATGAGATTTAAACTTATCTAACTATAGCTACAAAAACCATATACATCCTTGCATGCATGCATGCATGCATTATATATATATATATATATATATATATATATATATATATATATATATATATATATATATATATATATATATATATATATATATATATATATATATATATATATATATATATATATATATATATTTATTTATTTTGTTGATATATACGTTAAGTACAGTAATTGTACCAATTACTGTACTTATAAATATAATTTTATAGTACCATAAGAATATTGTTGTACAATATTCAACACTGTACAACAGTGCTATATACAGGACATGAGATTTAAACTTATCTAACTATAGCTACAAAAACCATATACATCCTTGCATGCATATATATATATATATATATATATATATATATATATATATATATATATATATATATATATATATATATATATATATATATATATATATATATATATATATATATATATATATATATATATATATGCATGCAAGGATGTATATGGTTTTTGTAGCTATAGTTAGATAAGTTTAAATCTCATGTCCTGTATATAGCACTGTTGTACAGTGTTGAATATTGTACAACAATATTCTTATGGTACTATAAAATTATATTTATAAGTACAGTAATTGGTACAATTACTGTACTTAACGTATATATCAACAAAATAAATAAATATATATATATATATATATATATATATATATATATATATATATATATATATATATATATATATATATATATATATATATATATATATATATATATATATATATATATATATATATATATATATGTCGTACCTAGTAGCCAGAACGTGCTTCTCAGCCTACTATGCAAGGCCAAATTTGCCTCATAAGCCAAGTTTTCATGAATTAATTGTTTTTCGACTACCTAACCTACCTAACCTAACCTAACCTAACTTTTTCGGCTACCTAACCTAACCTAACCTATAAAGATAGGTTAGGTTAGGTTAGGTAGGGTTGGTTAGGTTCGGTCATATATCTACGTTAATTTTAACTCCAATAAAAAAAATTAACCTCATACATAATGAAATGGGTAGCTTTATTATTTCTTAAGAAAAAAAAATAGAGAAAATATATTAATTCAGGAAAACTTGGCTTATTAGGCAAATCGGGCCTTGCATAGTAGGCTGAGAAGTGCGTTCTGGCTACTAGGTACGACATATATATATATATATATATATATATATATATATATATATATATATATATATATATATATATATATATATATATATATATATATATATATATATATATATATATATATATATATATATATATGTCGTACCTAATAGCCAGAACGCACTTCTCAGCCTACTATTCAAGGCCCGATTTGCCTAATAAGCCAAGTTTTCATGAATTAATGTTTTTTCGTCTACCTAACCTACCTAACCTAACCTAACCTAGCTTTTTTTGGCTACCTAACCTAACCTTACCTATAAATATAGGTTAGGTTAGGTTAGGTAGGGTTGGTTAGGTTCGGTCATATATCTACGTTAATTTTAACTCCAATAAAAAAAATTGACCTCATACATAGAGAAAAGGGTTGCTTTATCATTTCATAAGAAAAAAATTATAGTAAATATATTAATTCAGGAAAACTTGGCTTATTAGGCAAATCGGGCCTTGAATAGTAGGCTGAGAAGTGAGTTCTGGCTACTAGGTACGACATATATATATATATATATATATATATAGTGACTTGTGTTGCAAACAGAGGTGCAATACAATATAATAGCTGTACGCATCTACTGTTTCCTGGGAAGGATACAGTAGATGTTACTGCTGAGAGCACTAAGAGTATTCTAAAGACTGTGCGGTGGTGAGCTGCTTATATAGGCGGGCCAGGATTAGTGTAGATGGCGCTGATGTGCAGGTAACTATCGCTGGCAGTCTCAAATAAGCAGATAAGGGCTGGTCAACCGGCGAGTGGCGCTGGGCCCCAGACAGGTGTCCAGGTGTCTCGGATACTTGAGGGTGGAGGTGGGGTGGCGTCTTGTCTAGACACAGGCTTTTGAGCAAGTATTACTGTTGTTGATTTCCTCTACTTGAGTATGCAGATATGTTGTTGAATAGGCAGTAAAGGAATAGGAAGGATCTCTTTGCCCAAGCAGGAGATTACCGTAACAATATTATTTATTTATATACTAGCAGTACCCGCCACGTGTTGCTGTGGCTCAGTCTGGTTAAATGGGAAAGAAAGAAAGAGAAAGAGCACATTTTCTAATGTTTAATTTCACAGTGCTTGTGGGTATACAATATATTTTGTTGTTCCATTGTCTATGGAGATATAGAGATTCTCTGGTTTGCCAACTCTAGAACATGCAATATATAATTGTCCACGTGAGAAGCAATCCGTGTCTAGATATAACTTGAACAATTCTAAAGATTGGCCCCGAGCTTTGTTGATGGTGACTGCAAATGCCAATCGAATTGTAAATTACAATCTCTTAAATTGAAACGGCATATCTGTTGGAATTATAGGAATGCGAGGAATGAGGACATCTTCCCCTTTGAAAGGTCCTGTCAAGATTGTTGCTTCTACAACGAAGCTGATTAATTTTTTTAATTCAAGCCGTGTGGTGTTGCAAAATTTTGGCTGGTTGATATTTCGCAATATGATAATTGGCAAGCCGGTTTTCAATTGTCGTACCTGTGACGGTATTCCTGGCAGATTGAGTGAATTCAAAAATTCTGTTGGATAATTAACCGCTTCAACTGCTTCCACAACAGTGCCAACGGACTTGTATGTGACTGCCTCGCTTTGAATGTTAGACTGAATAATATTGTTAAGGTCGTAGACGTTTTGTTCTTGGCCACAAGAATAGCACGTTCACTCAGCCAATCGTGATTCTTATAATTGGTTTGAATATTAGGAAATACTTTTTCAATCAATTCTTCTTTTGACGTCACTAAATTGCAGAAGTTCTGAGCCAATGAAATTCGTCCCGAGGCCAGATCAACCAGCACGTTTACGTTCCCAATTTCCAGAAATTGATGCGAGGATATCTCAGCTGATGGATCGTTTTACAGTAGCTACATAACTACACATATTTGTAGTTAATTTAAATGTCTCTACGTGGCGCCACAGAGTATTACAGGCAAGCATTTATTTCGTCGGCTGGTGTCGATTGAGGAATTACATGTACCTGTACCTGCTTGATGGGGTTCTGGGAGTTCTTCTACTCCCCAAGCCCGGCCCGAGGCCAGGCTTGACTTGGGAGTTTGGTCCACCAGGCTGTTGCTTCAAGCAACAGCTTGGTGGACCAAAGGGTGGTTGGAGGGTATGTGGGCCCACAGGCCCACATACCCTCCACAGCCCAGCTGATCCGGAACTTCCCTTAGAAAACAGTCCAGTTTTCTCGATGTCCACGGTTGTTCCGGCAATATTTCTTATAGTCGCTGGGAGGACGTTGAACAACCGCGGACCTCTGATGTTTATACCGTGTTCTCTGATTGTGCCTATAGCACCTCTGCTCTTCACTGGTTCTATTCTGCATTTTCTTCCATATCGTTCACTCCAGTACGTTGTTATTTTACTGTGTAGATTTGGGACCTGTCCCTCCAGTATTTTCAGTAAACATTCAGTAATGTTTGCCTGACATCTCCTACAAGCAATATTAATGCATTCCCAAATGGTCTGATGTTTCCACGCAAATCTTGCAATGATCGATCAAGAGCCTCAAGCGATTTTTTGTGGGGGCATTGTGCATTCATCCCAAACAATAAGTTTGCATTTCTGCAATACTTTTCCTATGTCGGATGCTTTGGAAATGTTGCACATGGGAGTTTCAATGAATTGCATGTTCAATGGCGATTTCAAAGCCAAAGAAGCAGTTCTTCCACCTGGTAGCAAAGTCGCAGCAATTCTGGACGATGCAAGAGCTATGGTTGTGCCATTTTGGGATGGAAATGCTGCCAAAATCAATCTAATTAGGAAGGTTTTACGAGTTCCTCCTGGCGCATCTAAGAAGATTTCCCCAAGCCCGTTATTGACAGTTTGAATTATTTGATTGTTAATACCTTTTCGCTCAAGTAATAAGTAATTATCAAAAAAAGGCACCAAACCGGGATGGCTATGTAAGCCTTTTCGCTCAAGCATTAGCCTAGGAATCTTATTAAACATACGACAACAGATCGCACGTGTTATAATTTTGTTCACGACGCAATTCTACATCAAACGAAACAGCAGCAGATCGATTCGGTGATGGCATTTCCAATTGATTGAGAACTTTGTTCGCGATTTCTAAGCACACATCTTCAATCGTTATCAACGCTTCGTTGTAGATTTTTGCTGTAAAATCCACGTTCATATTTGAATTTTCCTTGCGTATTCGACGGATAATATCTTCAGCCATGTGCGATTTATATTTCTCCCATAACTCTGTTGGAAATAACAGAGGCGGTGGTCAATACAATTGCAAACAATGCATGAATTTGATTTGAATGTGACGTGCTGGACGCCTCATTAATACATACATCCCAGTGCCAGTTGTTCTCCAATAAATTCAGAGCTTGACATGCACTACAGGAAGTGGCATGTGTTACACCGTTGACAAATCTCAATTGCTGGAAAGACGTTGGACCGGGCACATTTACCAACAGCATGCGAAGAAAGAAGCATTCATCCTGATTAGGATGCACGGTGTACAGTCTGCCTATTGTAGTTTATTTGAATATGCCAAGTTGTCCGTCGACTCTCTATCCTCGCTTGAGTCGTTCAAATGATTTTCTACTGGCATTTCATGTTTAATACATAGGCACTTCCGAATACGGTATTGTTTTCGCAAACACGTCATTTTGACATGACATGAAGAAAGCAATTAAAGCTGTAGCCAGTGGATTCATAGCCCTTTGTTGCACATTTGCAGCTGTGAAATAAACTTGTTGTCCATTTTCATGTTTTCAAAACAAAAAATATTAACGAAATATTTCAATTCAAACGCAGATCAATCGACACAGCTCAATTTCACCACCAATTGCACTGACAAATAATAAGAACAATTAAAAAAACAAAATGAAAACGATGGAAAAAAATATATACCCATGAAATGAATGGTATGGTAAACAACATAGCTCAATTCCAACACAATGTCACAAAATAATTAAATCAAAATGAAAGTAAATCAAAATCTATGAAAATTCAATTTATCAATGCAATCGGAAACATTGAAATGGAATCTTAACATTTTGTATAGCTTGTGTTGGTCTTATGTGCAACAGATGGAGCCGTTATAAAAAAAGCATGTTTTTACCTGTCATAGGTGTAGCATCTAAATAGTAGGTATATAAAAACATGCACGTATTCAAATGGAACGTTGTGTCAAAATTTCAAAGCAATCTGTGAAGAACTTTTGGAGATTAAAGCGTGTGTTGCTCCTATGTCCTACACATGGCTCCGTTTTTCAAAAAAATTGCTTGCTGAGTAGAAGAACTCATAGAACCTCATCAAGCAGGAGGGTGCGTTGTTTAGGACACGAAATTCATCTGTGTAAATCGCTGTGGTATTTGGGTACCATTTTTTTATTATGAAAGCAAAGACTGAAGCTGAGTTTTGAGCAGACTTTAGAATGGTGTCTTCCAGTTGTCTTGATTTTTTAAGTTATATAAAACCAAAGTAGAATCAGGGGGACATTAAGTTGGGTTTTACAGTTTTGAAATAAAGTGAGTCTATATTGAGGTTATTTGTAGCCCGTGTGAGGAAAGGTTGTGCATGGTTGATGGGTAAGCAGGGATTATGTGGGCTAACTGTTGGGTTAATTTTTTTTATTAAGTGGATGTGTCGGGTGAGCAGTGGTACAGAACGATAGTTGGCACACATTATGTATCGTGTCATGGCTAAACTTTTAAAACCCATTTCCCCCTGAATGCTGAGGATAGGAGTGGAATGCCTTATGCCACATATGTCGCATGGCACTGTTTTGTATGACCTCAAGGCTCTGAAGGTGAGTAAGCACAACTGATGCATGTCTGACAGCAATAGTCTAGTTGGATGCAAATGTAGTATAGAAGGAGAACAAAAATTTATGGTGCCCCCACAGGCACCACCTCCCCAGGTGGTGCCAGCGAGGGCTTTAAGAATAGAGAGTCATGGTTGGGATGTCTGTTTAAGAAGCTGAATGGAGTACATGTATGAATTTTCCAAGTAAGGAAGGGCGAGTTGAAGTGCATACTGAAAGCCACTAGCCTTTAAGTGGACTCGACAGGGACAGGATACCAGCAGCATGTCAAAGGACCCCCCCCCACTCCGAATTCAAATTCCACGTCCAAAGAGCTTGGAAAATGCCAGGGGGGGGGGGGAGAAGAAGCACTGGGAGACGGAGTTTAAATTCATTAAAAGGTGGATGGAGAACGAGGAGATCCCACCCCCCCTCCATTCGTCCTGATAATTTTGTTGAACCAAGTCTTAAATTTTGCAGTTTAGGCATTTTCGGCTTTGGCGGGTAAGCGATTGGAACCTAAGAACAAAGATAACTACAGAAGGCCTATTGGCTCATACGAGGCAGCTCCCATTTATAACCACCCAGTCCAACTCGTATACATATCCAACTCACGCTTGAGACAATTGAAGGACCCCACCTCCACCAGGTTAAGTGGTAATTGGTTACACAAATCAACAACCCTGTTACCGAACCAGTATTTACCCCAGTATTTATTTATAATAATAATAATAATAATAATAATTTTTATTTAGGTAAAGGTACATACATAAAGAGATTTTACAAAGTTTGTTGGCTTTATAGATAGAGCTAGTACATACAATGCCTAAAGCCACTATTACGCAAAGCGTTTCGGGCATATTTAAGGGTTCCATGGGTTTATAACCCTATGGGTGAAAAAGCATCTCTGAACAATTTGCAGGATATTAACCAGGATAATTTCTTCAAAAGGTCAGATGTAACACAAACAAGGAGCAACGGTTTCAAGCTCAATAAGCCCCAATGTAGGACTGAGAACAAGAGATTTTTTCACCCACAGGGTTATTAACCCATGGAACAGCCTACCCGCCGAAGCCATAAATGTCAAAGCACAGCTTAATTTTAAGGTCTACTTCGTCAAAATCATGATAACAAATGGGGAGGGGTATCTTTAAAAAGCCGCCGGCATCCTGTCTCCGTCGAGGCCACTAGAAAGTCAGTGGCCCTCAGGTAAATTCAGGAGACTTAAGAGGGATAAGGGTCCACCCGGCGTCTGTACAAGGGGTCCAAGTCAGCCTCCACTCTCGCCCAAACCCGACCTCAGGAGCCGTGCCCAAGTCTCAGGTACTCTGGTGCTCTAGTACCGGCCTCCCCCATTTACTCACCAGCGTAGGTACTGGTAAATCACAGGTAAAAAGTCGACATCAATCTCCTCTGCCGCCACCACCTGGGAGGACATAGTGAGACTGGCGCGATGGTTCCTTCCTCGCCACTACTACTGAGAACATAAAATGTAAGGCTAATGATCTATTAGCCCCCACTAGCAAAATCTGGGTACAGCACAAGAATATCTTCCAATATTCCTGAGTGTGTGAAATAATTACAGAGCTCGAAGTACACTCCAACACTAGATCTGTGATTGCCCTGTTATAAGTATCTTCAGATCAAATAGTATGAGGTACTTTGAGCTCTGTAATTACTTACATTACATTTTATGTTCTTACCTGATTTTTAGTCATAGTTGATTTGTTTTTGTATTGAGGCTGGTATTTTATCCCCTGACTAACTATCCTGTGAGATGGGAATATTGGATGAACTTATAGTTAGTTTAGTTCATTTATTATGCACCCCATACCCATCCTGTGGGCGGTAGTGGAAAGGGTTACAGAGGCACATAATGGGCTCAGGGACTGAACCCCACAATTCATTTAGCTAAGCAAGTTACAATCTTGATGAGCTAGTTACAAAATTCAATATAAGTCATCACATCAACAATGGGTTCGAGATCGACCTCAAGTACAGGTTCTAAATTAAGCAACTGACATATGTGGAGAGCTAGTGTCAAAATTTATATGTTTGTCCTGCACACCGCCCCCCATCCAGTGGGCAGCGGTGGATAGGTTACAATCACTTAGTTACTACCTACAGTTAGCAAACTGGGGATATTTGGCTAAAATAGCCAGCTAATTAGTCAGAGCTGGTTTGTTTTTGTATTACGGCAGGTATTATCTCCCCTAATTTTATTTATGACTAACCATCGTGTGAGATGGGAATAATATTTGAACCTATAGCTAGTTCTTGATCTACACTGTGTAATATCTCACATGGAATAGGGTACATAAGAACATAAGAACATAAGAACAAAGGTAACTGCAGAAGGCCTATTGGCCCATACGAGGCAGCTCCTATTCTATAACCACCCAATCCCACTCATATACTTGTCCAACCCGTGCTTGAAACAATCGAGGGACCCCACCTCCACAATGTTACGCGGCAATTGGTTCCACAAATCAACAACCCTGTTACTGAACCAGTATTTACCCAAGTCTTTCCTAAATCTAAACTTATCCAATTTATACCCATTGTTTCGTGTTCTGTCCTGTGTTGATACTTTCAATACCCTATTAATATCCCCCCGGTTTTGTCCATTCATCCACTTGTAAACCTCTATCATGTCACCCCTAACTCTTCGCCTTTCCAGTGAATGCAACTTAAGCTTTGTTAATCTTTCTTCATATGAAAGATTTCTAATTTGGGGAATTAACTTAGTCATCCTACGCTGGACACGTTCAAGTGAATTTATATCCATTCTATAATATGGCGACCAAAACTGAACTGCATAATCTAAATGGGGCCTAACTAGAGCAAGATATAGCTTGAGAACCACACCAGGTGTCTTGTTACTAACGCTGCGATTAATAAATCCAAGTGTCCGATTTGCCTTATTACGAACATTTATGCATTGATCCTTTTGTTTTAAATTCTTACTAATCATAACTCCCAGATCCCTTTCGCAATCCGACTTCGCAATCACAACACCATCTAGCTCGTATCTTGTAACTCTATCATCATTACCTAACCTCAGTAGGGAGGTCGTGGTTACTAACGGGTGTCTCAAGGTTTCTAGGTTTTATTATCAATTATAGTAACATGATTCTTCCACATTAGCTCCGGACCTCCCAAATAGCAGTACATTAATTGTTGTATATACCTAATTTTGCTAATTAAAAAAAAATACCAACATTAAACGTTTCTTTCTTGATATTACAAAATTGTACACTTGTCTGCTTCCATACTCTCATATATTTGCCACAGGTGTTCCAATTTCTTTCTTTATTATGCACCCCATACCCATCCCGTGAGCGGTGGTGTAAAGGATTAGTAGTAGTAGGAAGGTAGCTTTATTATTAATCATGGATGAAAGTAAATTGAGAATATTATCTTGGAACATTAATGGATTAAAAACTAGAGCGGTGGATGTACACTATTATACTCTTAGAGAGAATATTGACATAGTAGCACTCCAGGAAACTGGGGATAGGGATGGTAGCATTGTGAGGCTAAATGGCTATAGAGGTTTTCACTTATATGCTGATGGAGGAACTAGGGGGGTCTCATGTTATGTCAAAAGTACCATATCTGCCGAGATAACTGGAATCCCTCAGAGATATAGAGGTATTGAAAGTATTAGCTTGCGGATACAATTAAAGGACCGAGAGTTAAATTTCATTAATCTATACATCTCTGATAGCTCCCTTGATTTAAGATACTTGCCAGATTCCTTCTTTTCTGAAGATACACTTGTGGTAGGGGATTTTAATGCCAGACATCTAGCTTTAGGATCAAGGGGTAAAGCAAATAGGAATGGTTGCAGATGGTACCAGTTTTTGCAGGAACATAAAGATGTTCAATTGCTGGGCGAGCCCTCTCCTACTCATTTGAGGAGAGGGAGATTAGATTATGCTTGTTTAATAAATGCTGAGGGCATAGAGGGGAATTGTCTTACTGTGGATGAAATGCTAAGTGATCATTTTGCATTACAAATACAGCTTAAACTAGATAAAAAGCATGCCTGCCTTCAGAGGAAAAGGTTAAAGTTTAATGAGGGAGAATTAAGGGGTCTTGTTGGTCATATTAAGTCTTAGTATGATACTTATAAGCCAGTTTCGGCAGAAGCATTTTATGAAGATTTAATTAAGGAGGTAGATGTATTTAATGCAACATTGAACCGGAAACCATCTAGTATAAAAAGGCATCCCCCCAGAAAAGAAAATTATACACATGACAAGATGCTTAAGGGGTGGACATTAACAATGAGGAGAGCTCACAGGGATTGGAATAGGAATGGTAGGACTGAGGAAGGGAAGAATGCTTTACTGGCAGTTGCTAGGCTGTGTGGGGAGAAGAGAAAGGAAATTAGGAGCAAGTATTGGCAGGAATTTGCAGAGAAAGTTGGGAGTAACAGAAACTTGAAGGAAATCTGGCAAGACGTAAATAAAATAAGGGGTAAAAAGCATAATTTTGTTGCACATCCAGACCCGCAAGGAATTGCAAATGGGCTCGTAAATAAATGGGCGGAAGCTGCCAAACTTAGTTCATTACCCGCTGTAACGAGAAAGTCATTAGATTCTTGGAAAGATCTAAGAAAGGATTTTATACTTATAGCAGGTAACAGTGGTGATGTCACTTGCACAGGTATTACCAGAGAAGAACTAATGACGGCGATTAAAGTTGGGAAATCTACCGCACCTGGGGAGGGTGGAGTAACTTATGAAATACTTAATGAACTTGCCATTATGACGAAAAGCCCACTTTTAGACCTCTTTAATATTAGTTATAAAGAGGGCAGTATTCCCAGTAAATGGAAAAAAGCTATGATCATCCCTATCCCTAAAGCCAATGGAGAGTATAGACCTGTGTCTTTAACCTCGTGTTTTTGTATAATGATGGAGAGGATCATTTTAAATAGACTTTTATATATAATAGGTGATCAGCTGTCTAGTAATTTGTTCGGGTTCCTCAAAGGAAAAAGTACCTCTGATTGTATTATTAAATGTCTAGCTAATGAAAATGATTATTATAGAATTTTCATTGATTTACAAGGAGCTTTTGATAAAGCCAACAAAGAGGTTATTTTATATGAATTAGCTGGTCTTGGTGTTAAAGGGAAATTATTGCGCTGGATAGGGGATTATCTTTACGAAAGGAAGGTTCAGGTGTGGTATCAAGGTTGTATGTCAGGTGTGAGGTCTTTTGAACTCGGCACACCTCAGGGAGGAGTGTTGAGTCCCACCCTGTTTAATGTACTAATGAATAAGATAGCATCTGAGAGATACTCAAATAGGGTAACTCCGATAATATATGCCGATGATATTTTGTTTCAGGGCAAAGATATTTCAAAGGTTCAAACAGTGTTGGACAATTTCGGAAACCTGTGTCACCATATGGGACTGGTGGTTAATAAGAACATAAGAACATAAGAACAAAGGTAACTGCAGAAGGCCTATTGGCCCATACGAGGCAGCTCCTATTCTATAACCACCCAATCCCACTCATATACTTGTCCAACCCGCGCTTGAAACAATCGAGGGACCCCACCTCCACCACGTTACGCGGCAATTGGTTCCACAAATCTACAACCCTGTTACTGAACCAGTATTTACCCAAGTCTTTCCTAAATCTAAACTTATCCAATTTATACCCATTGTTTCGTGTTCTGTCCTGTGTTGATACTTTTAATACCCTATTAATATCCCCCTTGTTATGTCCATTCACCCATTTGTAAACCTCTATCATGTCGCCCCTAACTCTTCGCCTTTCCAGTGAATGCAACTTAAGCTTTGTTAATCTTTCTTCATATGAAAGATTTCTAATTTGGGGAATTAACTTAGTCATCCTACGCTGGACACGTTCAAGTGAATTTATATCCATTCTATAATATGGCGACCAAAACTGAACTGCATAATCTAAATGGGGCCTAACTAGAGCAAGATATAGCTTGAGAACCACACCAGGTGTCTTGTTACTAACGCTGCGATTAATAAATCCAAGTGTCCGATTTGCCTTATTACGAACATTTATGCATTGATCCTTTTGTTTTAAATTCTTACTAATCATAACTCCCAGATCCCTTTCGCAATCCGACTTCGCAATCTCAACACCATCTAGCTCGTATCTTGTAACTCTATCATCATTACCTAACCTCAGAACTTTACATTTATCAGCATTAAACTGCATCTGCCAATCCTTTGACCATTTCAAAACCCTATCTAGATCAACTTGAAGTGATAGTGAGTCCTCCTCCGAATTAATTTCCCTACCGATTTTCGTATCATCGGCAAATTTGCAAATGTTGCTACTCAAACCTGAATCTAAATCATTTATATGTATTATAAACAACAGAGGTCCCAGGACAGAGCCTTGAGGCACTCCACTTACAACATTTTCCCACTCTGACTTGATTCCATTTATACTAACTCTCTGTTTCCTTTGGTATAGCCATGCCCTAATCCAGCTTAATA